TTGTTTGCTGCCACTGCACCAGTGACATAAGCTAAAGTCAAACATTGCGGAGTTGAATTGAGGTGAGCACTATAACTCAGATGTGAATAGTTCCTCTTATGATAAGCATATATTTTATGATTATGCGATATTTAGTATGACAAACATATTGAAGAAATTCTAGGTTATGTCTTACAGGTTGCAATTTAAATTAAAAAGGCAGGATTCACTATAAGTCAAAACCTTGGGAAAATCTTAAATGAATCAAAATAAGGACATTCTGGAAAGAACTGAAATTATTCAATTATTGAAATTAACTAAAAACAAGGCAACCATATGGAGTTTTGAGACTGGCTGTAGTATTACAAGATTTTTAAAAAAGCAATAATTACAAAGAAGGAGGTCATCAAGGCAAGCAAATTATGCTCGGGAGACTGGCGTACTGAAGACAATTCTGAAGAAACTGGGGAAATGAAGGGCTCCTTGGACTAAGGCTCTGTGGACAGTGGATGGGATTCCAGTGAACCTTATGCTGCACTTGTTCAGTTCAGGGATTCCCCTGAGAATCTTGGGAAAGCTCTGTCCTCCTTCCAAGAAATTTGATATGCTTTAGAACTACATAGGAAGCTTAGTAAAATGCACATTTCTGGACCGTTTTCCCAAAAACTCTGACTCTGTGATCTGAGGTGGGGCTGGTAATCTGCATGCAGCTGGTTCATGGGCCACATGTTGAGATAGACAACCTCAAAAGGAGGAGTGTAGAGGGAGATCTACTCATTTTGGGATCTTGATCTTTGTAGCTTAAACATGGCTTTGCCCCATCATTTGGTGATTTGGGAGAGACTTTGAACTCTCACAACCTTGACTTTGAAATGATTCTGCATATCAGGCAGGCTCTGTTATTGGAGGGAAAAAAACTCCACTCAAAGATTATTTTAGTACCCCAAAGAATCAACCTCCTTATCTCCCTCCTGCTGGACCTTCATAGAAAAAGTACCGGTAAGTATCCCCACCCCAAACAACTCTGGTGACAGAATGCAAACTGAGGAAGACTAAGGAAACACAAAGAGATCTCCCACAGGAAAAAAATCATAAAACACATATAGGTGTGAACAGCTCACAAGTATGATGGTCAACTAAACACTATTTTCATTATTAATGTTTGTCTCATTTTCTAAATATTGTATAAATTGCTTTTTAAATTTAATTTAATTAATAATTATGTAAATAATTATGTGATTTCAAAGTCAAATCTAAGAATTTAGATAGCCAAGACAGTCTCTTTAAGTTAACTGCCTAAGATGAAGAGCGCATGTGCCGCCAACTCAACACAGTCCACAGACTGAAGCATTGAATGAGCATAAAGTTGACTTTTTCATTGTAAGACAAAATGTATTTGATATTCTTCACACCCTGATTTGAGAACTAGACATTTCTGAAGAAAATTATGAAATACATAACTCAAACACTTCTTAGAAAAAGAATAAAGGGAAGTAATGTTCTTCCTTATGACTCATCAAAGAGATTATGGAAATTGTAGAACCTGAATGTGGAAAACAAAAAGCCAGTAGCACAAACTGATCAGTCAAGGTTAAAACCTCAAATAGAGTAGTGGTATACCTGAATAAATTGATTATTCTTTGGTAAGTAACTGTATGCCCTCATTTTAACTCAGTGAATGATAAAAATCACAGGATAGACAAGAGATTGCCTTATTTCTTGGTTGGATGGCACACAAACTACTTCTGACATATGATTATTCATTTTTCCTTCTGAGAAATTGAATATGCAAATAGACAATGACAAGATCAAATATGGCACTAGAACTCTGATCCACAACCTCTACAGCAGTCTGCCCAGAATGGTCAGGACTTGGTCAAGATTGCCAGATTCACTATATTTTTGCCCCTCCTTCCAAGTCAGAATCAACCAGAGAAGGCAAAATATGCATTCTAGCCAATCACACAAGATGCTCTGCTTGTAATTAAACCAGCTCCTCTTGCCCATGCCAACAACCTCTAACCAGAGCATACCCGAGGCTTCCTTGTGTTCACTATAGAGTTTTCCTGATCCCCTGCCTGCTTCTGAGTCTGTCAAATGCAAATGATGGTGGCCAAATCTTGCCATAGCAAGCTCAGAATAAATAGACTCTGTTTGTTCTCATTTGGGGGGCCTTCACTTATTTCCATACTTGATTGTTTCCAGAGAAAAAAATGTCTGCTGGATCCCAGGGCCATCGGAAGAGAATAGGAATCAGAGCCACCTTTTAACTTGGAGGTGCCCATCATAGTGCCACTTGATATTTCTCCCAGGAAGATATTAGGAAGGTAACAGTAGCCACTAAACCCCCATAACAACAGTATCTTTGCTGTCAAATCATGGGATAAGCCATCCAATAGAAATTCAAAGTGGTGATTATATCTATGAAGTTCTACCAGTCTGGCAGCTGGCCAGGTGTGTTTATGTAACAACCGATTCACAAGACTACACAGAAAAGCCTTATAGTTGGAACGATGACACATTTGAATTGGAGGTCTGGGTAGTTTAATGCATTTGAAACAAGCTGGTTATAGCATCAGCTATTATTCCTTTTGCAGTTGGTTTACATCTCACCAATGCTGGCCTTAGGCAACCTGGATACAGCCTCGTCTAGGAAGAAGCATTACTCTGGAAATAAAATTTAGTCTTCAAACAGAAGTGCTGTACTAAAGAAATGACCTGGGGAAGATTACTTGTCCATTTCCTTGTCACTAAAACAAGGATTATTGTACCACTGTGGAGTTAAAATCAGATAATAAGAGTATTTTTAAAGGATAATAAAACAGAGTATTTTAAATAATTGGAACAGCATAAATGCAAGAAATTTTAATGCACAATTGAGTTTTCAGCACGATTAATTTTACCCCAACACATACATCATTCGAATCAGCTTAGCACACTCGTGGGAGAGCTGAGAGCAGGCGTCATGCGCGGGCTGCCTGGAGGAAGGGCACAGTGTGGGGAGGGCCCCTGCTGGCTGACTACCTCCTCGTCTCCCTCCTCCTGAAATGGTAAGAATGACGAAGGAGCATGGTGCCGTCAAACCAGAGTTCTTATTCCCAGAAACCAGGCTGTATTTTAAGCTCCTTCCAGGGGAGCATCACAGAAAACAGCGAGGAAAACTGCCATCGCCATGCCGTGTTTTAAGAGGTGTGTATTTCAGTTGTCACTGTAGCTTCACCTCCTCTGGCCCACATTACTGAATTTGTATACCAGCTGAATAATTTCTCATTAGATTAGGTTTTTAAATTTACTCCAGAAACCGATTCTCTGAAGTCTTGACAAGATACATCAGTTAGCGCAAAAATCAGATTTAACAGGAAAATCCATTTATATCCAATCATTAACATATTAAATGTCATTGAAGTTTCTTCCAGGTTGTCTTGGGGCAAGAAGAGGGGCTTAGGCTGAAAGGAAAACAGGTAGAGAATGAATTTCTTCATCATGTTGATCTCAGCCCTGACTGTGCATTGGAATCACTAGAAATGTATTTTTAAAATACCAATGTCTGAGTCCAGAAATTTAGTTTGTCTGGAGAAGGACTAAGGTATGGCATTAAAAAAAAAAAAAAATCACCCTAAAAAGTTTAATGGTTAGTCAAGGCATTTCCTCCAGGAGCGCTAAGAGAGCCTGGGAAGGTACTGACAGACATTGGATCCCCCTAACAATGGTGCTGTTAAATGATGGGGCAGGACTCCAAGAGAAGTCCAAAGTGATATTTACAGCCTGTGAAGAGGTTCCCAGTAAAAGAAGCTGTGATTAGCAAAGACAACAATCTGAATGGTAAGTATGGTTACTACCTCCACCATCTGCCACTTGGAGAGGCTTAACTGCTTTCACAGGAATCCTTGAAGATGTAATTTGGCTCTCTAAATCCAGCCTCTCACTTTTTTTTTTTTTTTTTATCATCCTCACCGGAGGACATTTTCCCATTTTTTGTTCAGGTAGAGTGGGAGGGAGAGAGAGGAAGAGAGAGAGAGAAACATCGATGTGAAAGGGACACATCGAATGGTCGCCACCCGCACAACCAACCAGGGCCGGGGACAAACTGCAACCGAGGTATGTGCCCTTATTGGGAACCGAACCCAGTCTCTCCGGACCGCAGGCCGACGCTCTAACCACTGAGCCAAACCGGCTAGGCCAGCCTCTCACTTTTGACTTGGATCCATAATTCTCTTTGGGCTGCCCTTCTGTTTATTCCCAATCTACATGTTTGGGTGTGTCCCATGTAATTCTATTGAACACCCTGCTTTCAAGGAACCATTTTCCTGATTGGCCCAAAGTCTATTCCTATCTTTCTTTCACATGAGCACACCCAATGAGCTCAATTATATTCTCTGGTCAATAATAATATTACTCATTCCTAACACAGGTCTATTAGCAAAGTGACCTCCATCTGTGCTTTCTTGCCTTGTAATTAAAAAGCAACACATTTCCTTCTAGATTTCATATATTCTATGTATTTCCTTCTCTGTTCCATATATATATCATATCATTCTCTTTGCTAATAAAGAAAAATAAAAAAATTTATTTTAAAGTCTGTGATAAGAAAATAATCGTTATCACATAAATTTTTCATGCCCAGATATTTATTCATCTGTTTTTCTCAAAGGCCCAATAAAATAGTCAAACAGCCACAGTCTATTTTAAATTAAAATGCATAGCTTTAAGGGCTATTTGACATGCAGTAATTATCTGCATAGTCTTCTAGCCAAGCATAGAAATTGCTAATGTCTCTACCCTTGAAGGAAATGAACTGTGCAAAAAATTTCAAGCAAACACAATCCAACTGTTCACTTAGGGAGGTTGCATAAGAAATTCATTGTATCTTTACCCAAATTTCCCCTTGACTTGTCACAGATCAGCATGTACTTCACCTCTTTGGCTCCAATTAAAATTATAAACAGATGAGCTTTTCAGCAGACGAGGGCAGACGTGCCCTTTCCACAGATGGTCAGCGTCACATGTTGCAGTAATGGCTGGACACGCCACAAGGGTACCGTATAAAAATGGTGGGACCCAGAGCACTTCAGCTCCAATCGCTCTATGTTTAGGATTGTCTCTCGTTCACGATGGATTTCCTTCATAGGAATGGAGTGCTCATTATTCAGCATTTGCAGAAGGACTACCGAGCTTATTACAATTATCTAAATTTTATGTCCAATGTTGGAGACCCCCGGAATATCTTTTCTATTTATTTTCCACTTTGGTTTCAACTTAATCAGACAGTTGGAACTAAGATGATATGGGTAGCAGTCATTGGGGATTGGTTCAATCTTATTTTTAAATGGTAAGACTTCTATTTTGTTTCATTTTTTCCTAATGTTTATTCTTAAATTTGTAGCTTTGGCTTAATGGTCACATTTTAGATGTGTGTAGTTTTACTTGGAAAATCTTTCAAACATATTAGGTAACTTGAAACATGTATTCATAAATAGAACTTACAAAAGTGATAGAAATATATACTTACATACAAATGTACATTCATATACAAATGTATACTAATTTATAAGTAAGTCCCCAAACCCTGTAACACATACCTGTGATTAACCAAGAGGTTAGTTAAATGAGCAGTACCACACTGAACTGATTGGTGAGTCCAGGGACCACTTCGATATTCCCAGTCTAAGTACCCAAAGCACCCACAGGACTTTGCATGGAAGGAAAAAAAGTCTTTGTTTTTTATTGAAAATAGGATGCTCAAACTCCAAATGACTGTGTCATTCTCTATAGTGAGAGAGAGAGCAGAACCCAAGTTTTTCAAAGTTTCTTAATCATGAATTTTCCTCATCAACCCTCTGATAAATCATTTTATTTCGTAGGAGAAAACAGCTAGTCTCCATTTAGGTAATAGCTGTGTATTTAAATATATATGCATATTCATATTTCTTCAAATACAGGATATTGTTTGGTCATCGGCCTTACTGGTGGATCCAAGAAACTCAAATTTACCCAAATCGCTCAAGTCCATGCCTTGAACAGTTTCCCACTACATGCGAAACAGGTCCAGGTAAGTAATTATAGCAGCCTCAAGTTATAAAGATATTCCAACAGGGAGTCATTATGTATGATTATCATCTAATAAGTGTATGATATCATATACAGGATATTAAAGAAAATATCATGAGTGAGGATGCTAAAAGTTCATAAGCATAAAAATTGCTAAAGAGAAAAAGTTTTATGAGCAATCAAATTTCATTGTGTATTTGTAAAAGGGTAAGTTAGGAGAATATGCCTTAAATACTTTTATATTTGGCATTTATTTTTTGAAAGAATGAAATGGTTTGATACTAAAACAAACAAAAATGTTAGCTAAAACAATTTGCCAAAGAACTATATTAAAATCCTAGAAATGTTTATTTATCTACTGCTGAGTACCTTTCAAAGTTACTGTAGGTCTTCTGAAAAATCTCACAAATGAGGAAAGAATAGACAAGCTTTCTCAAGAAAGGTTAGGATTTCCTGGTATTACTATGGCCAGTAAAGATATCTCTGATCTTAGAATGATTTCTTTACACTTTATTTTTTTTCTCTTGTGTATATAGTATGTAAGTAGCCTTCTTGGGCCACTTTCCTTTTTATTATAAGTAAGACTCTGTATGAGTGTAAAATCTTTACTGTGGAAGTTGAGTTTAAGACTAGAAAAATATTTTTTGAAATATATATATATATATAAAGAAGACTACATGTTGTTGGTTTAATTTATAAGACTGTGTTATATTATACTTCACCTGTGTTATATTATAGTATAATATAACAATATATAATACTTCATATTATAGCTTGTTACATAGCTGAAAATTCATATTTGACATCCACTGAAACTAACTCCGAAAATAGTGAATGTATAAGTTCTGTTATATTACAATACTTAATTCTTTATATATTTGGCTCCCCTAGTAGGCTATGTTCCACCAGGATGGGGATGGTGTATATTTTATCTTTGTGAAATCAATGTGGGATGGATGGATGGATGGATGGATGAATGGATGAATAAATAAATGAATGAATAACCTTTGAGATGATTGAAATGCTACTTTGTTTTATTCCATCACTTTCCAGCATGTGTTCTATCTTATGAAACATTTTCATGGGTGGAGGGGAGAAGGATATATTGCATCCTACATTCACTCCTTAGAGACTTACAACTCTAAGCATATAAAGGCTCTGAAAATTCCTGCATAAGAAATAGATTTGAAATAAATAGATCTACAAGAAATAGATTTGTCTTTGTTTAATCTAGCATTTTTTCAAAAAGGGACTGGTGTTTAACCTGAATGAATCTCTACTTGGTAAAGACTCAGGGAGAATATCAAAGGAAAGTGATTTTTTAAAAAAAATTTCAAGCTTCAGGGGAAAGACATTCTAGGAGTAGAAAGGCTAGCTGTCTCCAGGCTTCTTCTGCCAATACTGATGCCCTCTTTACAGCATCTCCATGCCAAACAAAGACTTTCATGAAGCTACTGGTCATAGGATAGGCATAGAGGTAGCTGCTAGTGTGTAGCAGTCAACTGGCAAATCAGATGTAGCAATCATATCCTCTAGATATTTGACTTTTCAGACCAAGGAAAATGAACTGATTTAAGGTCCAATACAAGCACTTTATTTTTATCATCAATTTAAAACAATTGGATATGAACAATGACTAGACATATGGCAGATTTTGGTGTTACACCCTGAGTTTGTAATTAGCCTTCAACATTTTAATTTCTGGAATTTGATGAACTTGAAAAATAAGGAAAAAATTTTGAAGTAGTGTTTTGAGGCTCAATTTGGCTCATTTTTTTTTAAATTTCTACTTATGTCTAAACATTACATATAGCCTGTGTGCTATGGTTTTTCTCTGAGTAATTTGTAATTTTCATGGCTAATATGCTTTTTTACTGTCCATCTCTGATAATGATACTCTATTAACTACCTTTCAAAAGAAGTGACAACTTTGCTTTTGCAGGAAGTCCATCTGGTCATGCGATGGGCTCTTCATGTGTCTGGTATGTCATGGTAACGGCTGCCCTGAGCTACACTGTCAGTCGAATGGATAAGTCATCTACCACTCTGCACAGGTCAGCTTTGTCCAGTTTCTGTCGCACTGGAATATAACAATTTTGAACACAGAGTGTCCTTTTAAAAATTCATTCAGTATACTTTTAGATATTGAAATGTGCTTTTTCTATTCTATTATAAACGAAATAGCAAGTGAATAGAAAATTAATATTGTATTTTAAGGTAATGTCCTAATTATCTCACAGTTATTGCCACATTACAGGGTTGAAAATGTTTAATTGATTAATGATTTGCTAACTATGCCTTTGGGTTTCCATAATGTAATAGTCACTTTGGTATCTCATAAATAAGTCATTTAAAATTACATAAGGACATTTTGCATGTACATTCTCTTGCTGTAAGATTAACTAGACACTTTAAGAAGCATCATTCCCCTTGAATGCATCAGTTAATTTAGTATAATTATGCTTCTTTCTTTGACTAGCCAATGTTTTTGACATCAATAACATATTCCAGCTTTAAAGACGTTGCAACCTTATTAATTAAAAACATTCTAGAGGCAAACTTAAATCGGAATATTAGCAGATCTCATATTAGTAGATTTGTAATGTTTAGAAAGGCCTTGAACTTTAATATAAAATTACTCAAAATTTTTGTAGGAATTAAGCTGTTTCCTTCTCTTCTTTCCTGAAATAATTTATCATTAAAACAATTCTGAGCACCACTTTAATCATAAATTATTAGGCTACCAGAGATAAGATTTGTCTGTTAATTGGTTAAAAAACATGATAACATATGCCATTATATGAAAATTCTTTTAAAATAAAACATTTCCATCATATATTCTACTTTTTAGAGTAGTATTATAGATAACATATGAAAGAAATGACCAAAGAAATTTGGGGACATTCAAATTTTATTCTAATGAGACTGTGACCTGTATGGCTTAATGTATTCATTAGCCAAAACAACCACAGTAGAAAGTTGTTAAATGTAAAGAAATTAGCATTTCCTATCCATAGACTATTTCTCAAAGTAGGAATCTAGATAAGGCTTACCTTCTTATAGGTTATTTCTTTCTCCAATTTCCAAACCTGGAAAAATGTTTGTTTCTTCTAAAAAAATTCCCATAACCCTTTTTTAATTTTTATAACTGCAACAACACATCATTCATCAAAATTTATTTAGAACCTACTCCTTACCTTAATATTACCAAATTCTTGTTTATTCTTCCTCTTTGGAAGTCTCATTTCTCTCTATTCCTTTTTCAATAACCAAAGTTTGGTCTGATTACCAGGAACAAACCACTGAGAACCCCCCAAATTCTTAGAATTCAATATTGCTAGTTCTTTTTTTAAATTAAAATAATGAGTGTTGCTTTAATTTTAGTATTTTATGCTTTTGTATATTTTTCTTTTTTATTTCTATGTATTGATTTTTAGAGAGAGACAAAGAGAGAGAGAGAATCATAGATTGATTGTTTCACTTATTTATGCATTCATTGGTTGATTCTTGTGTGTGCCCTTACCAGACATTGAACCTGCAACCTTGGCGTATTGTGATGACGCTCTAACCAACGGAGCTACCCAGCCAGGGCCTACTTTGTTGTTTCTAATCCAAAGTACATAATCTGTAGGTTAATTTCCTTATTTCTTATTTTCTATATCTCAAAAAACAATGAATCAGGACTCCTTTGAGAGTCTGAAATTAAACCCAATGAAAATGTGCCCTTGATAAAATGCAGATGTGCTTTTCATCAGAGCTATAGCTGCCCTGGGAGTTTTCTTCAAGCAAAGAAAGGCTGAGAGAGAGTAAAGAGGAAGCATGTACAACAGAGAGGACAATATCCATAATTCATTCTTGATCATTCTGATGCTAGTAATTCCCCAAACTTGAATTCCCCCTATTCCATTAAAATAATTATTAAGATGTCAACTTCGCTTCCTTTTATAATATTTATTAAACTCTCAGGATAAAGCACTTATAAATGCGTTAATAAATGTAGACATTTCTGTTAAAGTTTTTCAAATCCTGTGAAGCACATGGAAACATTCTGAAAATAAGACTCTAGAATCAAGCTGTTTTGTCAGATGATTTCTCTGATTCAGGTCCTCTGCTGTCACCCCCCCACCCCGCCCCCCGCCTAATGTTATGAGCAATACAATTTCTTTGCTTCTTACACTTTTATCTATTCTTCCATCGTAGACTGACCTGGTCATTTCTTTGGAGTCTTTTTTGGTTGATTCAAATCAGTGTCTGCATCTCCAGAGTATTCATAGCAACACATTTTCCTCATCAAGTTATTCTTGGAGTAATTGGTGGTAAATATGATCACTTACTTTTGATTGTGTCATTGGAAAGCTTTTCATTTATTTTATGTTCTCAGATTCTTCCTGGTCATCAGTTCCCCATTCTAGGTACTTCTGTTAAGTCACCGATACTGAATGCTACCCTGAGAGCTTAAGTGGTTTAACACACCTCTCAAATCCAGCTCGTACCCAATGCACAGTCTCGCGTTAACCTCTTAGTGAGATGGGCTTCTCTGAAGTGTGACTGGAGCTAAGTCCAACTCTCAAACCACCACTTCAGACAACCTGCTTGTGTCTTGGTTGGAGGGACGTCATCACGGTCCCTCAACCTGTGTACCCTGCCACTCTCTCCGAAACACCTGGAATGATCATGACATGACTATGAACTTCATACAGCAGCTGCTCTGTATTCCTAAAGCGGCATTCCCCATGATAGAGTTTCTGCCATTCAGCCCCATGTGCTGTTCAAAGCCTCTCTAAGTTAGTTGGCTGTGGCAATGGAAATATTAATTGCAAGCACCTAGGCCAGTGCTCTGCTGTAAAGTGGGTTGTCACTCAGTGCCATGGATTCCTGAAAGATCCCCGTCCTAATGTGGATAGTGAAATACCATAGGGCAAGTGTGTATGTTTAGTTACTACTTTAGGAAAGGCTTTGGAAAATGGATAGAACCTAGGTGTCTAATGTCCTTTATCATTGGAAACTACAGCTAAATTCTTTAATGCAGGGAGATATGATTCACTGGGAGCTCAAGGGCAACTAGTCACCTTCAGCGTCTCTTTCTAATCCCTAGGCATGCTTGTGGCAGAGGCCTTTGAACACACTCCAGGCATCCAAACGGCCAGCCTGAGCACATACCTGAAGACCAACCTCTTCCTCTTCCTGTTTGCTCTTGGCTTTTACTTGTTTCTCAGACTGCTTGACATTGACCTGCTGTGGTCCGTGCCCATAGCCAAGAAGTGGTGTGCCAACCCCGACTGGATCCACATTGACACCACGCCTTTTGCTGGACTCGTGAGAAACCTCGGGGTCCTCTTTGGCTTGGGCTTTGCAATCAACTCAGAGATGTTCTTCAGGAGCTGCCGAGGGGAAAATGGCTACAAGCGGAGCTTCCGGCTGCTCTGTGTCGTGGCCTCGTTGACCACACTCCAGCTCTACCATTTCATCAAGATCCCCACTCACGCAGAGCATTTATTTTATGTGCTCTCATTCTGTAAAAGTGCATCCATCCCAATGACTGTGGTTGCTCTGATTCCCTATTGTATCCATGTGCTGATGCAACCAAGCGAAAAGAAGATGAACTAGAGCTGTGCAGAGTTAGCGCTCTGTCGGCCCAGGAGGCTCCTCCTCTTCTGTCCTGCAGTGGAACCACAGAGCGGGGGCAGACTGGGGGCTTTCAACCCAGGGCCACACAAGGGCACCCACAGGCCTCCTCCCACCCTCACGTATTTTTAGGTTGGCCTTCGCAGTGCTTGCTCTCTCTCTCTTTAGTTGTCAACATTTAAAAACCAGGCTACTTGATATAGAAATCTGAATTTCTGTTAGTTTCTGGAAAAATCTGATGCTATGGCAATAGAGAACCTGGATTCCCAGCGGGATACAGATTGTCCCCAAGGGGAGGCAGGCACTATCCATCACAGTCTGCAGCGTCCCCACAGGAGCCAGTGTCGATACCTTTCTCACCTTCAGATGCTTCTGGCTCTTGGGGGCTCTTCAGTGACAGCCGAATCTAACCCCTCAGTTTTCAGATAAGGTCCTGGAGGCTCAGTCAGGTAAAAGAACTCACTGTTGTCCCACTACCATCAGAGCAGGAATTAGAACCCAAGTCTTCTGACAAATATTTGCATTACACTATGTTTTGTTTATTCATTTTCAATAGGTAATACTTTGTAAGATGTTATGTAGGTTCTACAACAATTACTATGTATATCAGCTATTTTTCCAAAAATAACATTAAAATGCCACGTCCTGTTTGATGTAAACCATGCACGCAGGGCTTCGAGGGGGCCAGCGATGGCTCTAGGTGTGGATACATATCCAAGGGAAAGGAAACAGGCCAGGCCACTGTAGACTTGAATTTCTGCACAACTCTTGGTCTCTGTTTTACGGAAGTGATTTCTAATATTTCAATAAATGCTGCTGAAAATAGTCTGCTTAGAACATTATTTACCCCCAAAAGACTTATTTTTTTTCTTTATTGATTTTTAGAGAGAGAGGAAGAGAGAGGAGAGAGAGAGAGAAACACCGACGAGAGAGAACATTGATTGGCCACCTCCTGCACACTCCCTACTGGGGATTGGGCCCACAACCTGAGCATGTGTCTTGACTGGGAATCAAACTGCGACCTCTTGATACATAGGTCGATGCTCAACCACTGAGCCATGCTAGCCGGACCCAAAAGGCTTATCTCTGTACTCTAACATACTTTGTCTTTAGGAGTCAATTTTCCAAACTAGGGAAATCAAGTGCCTTCTTCAAGGTCATACTCCAACAAGAAAAACTATTAAATGTTAGCTGGGTTAACTTCTATATATACTGAACTATTATTAAAATCTACAGGTTTACTTTAGAAAATTATTACTGATGCAATATTAATGTTATACTATGAATTTCTCAGTAAGGTTTTTTCCTTTCTTATTGGACCCAGTAATTCTGGACTTTAGGTTGCTAACTCTGTTATTTCAATCAATTACATTTTGAGTCAGATTTTGCTACATATCTTATTGACCTGTGATCTGTTTCATGTAACTCTTTTTCAAGGATATCAATGCATGATTTATTTTAGATGATGACATTAAATAGTCCATGCATGTTTCTGAAAACATAACAGTTCGAGCAAGTGCTATTTGACAATGTATTGAGGATAACAAACCCTCTAAAACTCAAAGAAATTATTGGTCCATTTCTAGGTGTATTTGTAGAGTATATGCTGTTGCTTTTACAAATCACACTTAATAGCTGTCTTTTTAAAAAGTAACTGAACTTGATTTTGGTGATTGGGTGATTCCTAAGCAAAAAGCTGAGGTATGAAGAAATATTATCTTTAAAAAATTTCTTTTTCACTTACAGTTTACACTCAATATATTTTGTATTAGTTTCAGGTGTAAAGCATAACAGTTAGACAATGATATACTTTACAAAGTGTTCACCCCGATATTTTCAATACTCACCTGGCATACATAGCTATTACAATATTATTGACTCTATTTCCTATGCCGTACTAAAGAAACATTATCTTAAGAATGAAATGTGTCTCATGTTGATGTGACATGTGGGGTGAAAGAGAGAAGAATGCTTCTTAACGTGTGAGCCTTGTTCATTGGTTCCAGCCTCCCAGTTGGAGTGACCTTGGAAAGTCACATCAAGCCTTTCACACGTCATGATGTATATGCCTCAGCACTTATTCTTCTGCACTTGTCAGAGATCTCATTCCTGAGAAGAGCTCGTTCTCAAAGTTTCTGTTGAGATTAGTAATGTTAACATTGAAGAATCTTCCATCCTAATACAGTCTCAGCCTGCCCTTACCAAGGCCCAAGGAAGCTGGGCGCTAATAGCTGAGGAATTCTGCTACAATGCATGACTCCATCATAAATCCCTCTCCGTTGTCTTCAGCCACCCACAGTGAGTGCTGTCTGTTGGATAATCCACAATCCTCAGAAGGGGAATACACCATGGTGCGGCCTCGTTTTCTGGAATTAATTCCCAAAGCTCTACCTTACCTGCCATAAAGCCCTGGCATCCCCACGTGGTGAGATTTCCCTCTTTACTCTAGTTGACGTCTCCTGGAGGGATCCATATGGAAGCAAATGGCTTTTGCAGTCGAAACTGCTTAGGCAGCAAGAGGAGCAGCTTCTCACAGCCTTGGAGAATAATCTGCTTTTAATAATGATGGAAAAGACTCTTCTGCTTCCGATTTATTTGCCAAAAGTAAGTGGAATTTAGTTCATTTGACTTGCTGTTACTACATCCGTGCATTCAAATTGTCTACACACCGTCATATTCAGGAGACAAATGTCAACATCATGAACTTTCAGGATGAGAAAAATCTAGACAAGTGACTTGAAAAACTGTCCAAATACATATTTGAAGAGAAAAGCAAAGGAATTTATTATTGCTGAAACTAGCTATCAAGAAGAGTGTTGGGTCCCTTTCCTTTGACAACCTAGTGGCTGGACATCTGTCTTAGAAGGTTAAATTGGTGCCTTCTTTGGACCTAGTTCAGTATACCAGAAGGGTGGTTAAAAACTTATTATAAGATGCCTTTGAAACTCAGTTGTATCTCTAAAGGTTTCATATTTATTCAAAATCTGCAAATAAATCGAAGATTAAATTAATAGATACAGAAAAGCCTTGGTATAAGAGAAAGTAACAAAACAAAACAAAACTTGGTTTTAAATGTGATTCATTTCTTGAGTACATTAAAAGTGTATATTCCAGCATTTCTCAATTGGACTTTCTACATTGATGGAAGTATTTTGTGCTGTCCAAACGGCCATCTGCTGCCACATATAGCTCCTGAGCTCTCGAAATGCAGCAAATGCAATTGAGAATTTGCGTTTTAAATTGTTACTTACTTTTAATTTAAATTTAAGTAGCTATGTGTTAGTGGCCACTGGATTGGATAGCACAGATCAAGTCCCACAATGCTTTTCCCTGAAAAATAATAAAAGTGTTTTTCAAAATATCATCACCTGTACCACATTCCTGTGAGACAACATGAATCGTTATTCATTGCTTTATTTCATATGAGAAAATTGATTTGTTGGCAGCCCGGGGAGCTCTTGATTAGCTCACAGATGTTATTTTCCAGGTGAAAAAACAATAGTGATGATGGGTAAATCCCATTGTGATCTTTACACATTCATAAAGAAAATGTAACTTGTAGGGTAACTGACACTGAGCATTTCTGGGGCTTGAAGGATTAAAGTGACTATAAAATGTGAATAGTAGGCTCTGCTGTATTTTTCAGGGAGACCCTCTATAGATCTGGGACTCTCTCCGTGCAGCTCCTTTCCCTCCCTCTGTCCTGTGAGCTCTAGCCGCCTTGGTCTCTCGGGACTCTTAACTCCATTGCCTCAAAGCAAGGAGTCTGAGTCCCCTTCCCTGCGCCGGGTCCTGGAAACCTTCATAGGGCCACAGAGCTGGGTGAAGTTTTACCATGCTGGATGGCTGGATGACTTTCTGACCAAGTTGTCCTGTTTGCCTGGGTCTACCATATCTGCATGCTGGACACCAGTGCTTCTGTAGCTATTGAGAAACTGCTTGAAAAAGAATTACCAGGGTCCGCTTGCATCTGAGAATTTTGCCCTCGTTGACTGACTGTCCTGTCACTCTGAAAATAGCAACCAGCTTTCTGGATGAATAACTGGACCTTAGTGTTGCCAAGAAACTAAGGTGGTGTTTCTAATTTTTTCCCCGTCCCCTTACATTTAATGCTTTCCAATGGCGATTTCACACTAAAGGTAATGTGGTACTTACTACCTATTAACTTTTTTTTTAAATCCTTTATTTGGTTTTTCTTTTAAAAATGTTAACAGCAAGAAAGTTCCAAAAGAAGCAACAGCTCCAGAATCTTCTGCTTAATGACAGCAACTCGTGGAGAAATTCTAAGAATTAGAAGTGCTTTATTTTAGCTCTGCAAAGGACAAATGTGGTTTTGTCAAATTTGAGGGTGATTTGATGTGGAGTACTAATTACTGTCTTTGCTGTTCTTTGATGGAAATCACACTAATGACTTAGAAGAGATCACATCTCGTTTCTTTTGGCAGCACAGAAGTGATTGTTCTTAAGGGGGGAAAATTCAAAGACTGGGGTTTTAAAGGTTAGCGTAAAGCTGATTAATTATTTTCTATTTTGAATTTTAAAATTTCTTAGATTCTTTTTTCTTCCAACATTTTGCCATGTGATTTCTGAAAGGAATCTGCCTCCGTTTAAAAAACTGTGACAAGAGCCCTAAGAGCCACAGAGCCCTATGTTCCGAAGAGGCTGCCAGGACAGGGGAAGGTGACGGGTGAGGGGCAGCAGTTGTGGTCCTGCTGAGTGGGCTGTGGCACAACCAGGGACTCCAGGAGGGGCATTCGCTCTCGCAGCACCTCACCCACTTCCAGTGCCAGCCCCGGTGAGGGCAGAAACCGCTCCCCTGGGGGGATCCGCACGCTCTGCAGGGGGAGCAGGCATATGCGTGTCTGGAAAAGAAATCCAGAACTAATAAGAGCCTCTCTCCTCCTGTAGCTCTAACTGCCCTCGCACCTCAATTGGGCCAATCACACTCTAACTTCTGTTCAAAGATGTAACTTTTTCCTGGATGCAGCTTGTGCCTTATGAACAGTGTTGGCCAGGTTGCCATCTTCATTCATACATTCTGCCAGCAGCGGAAGGAGTTTTCTAAAGGTGGACAGTGCACTCACCCCTCCCTGCCTTCCGTAGACAACACCCTTGCCCTCAAGCTTCACAACTGCACGAAAAGCATCTGGCCCTCGAGATCTCTTTTTCTGCAGAATCATTCTAAACTCTGTCTTTTAACAATTTTTTGAATAACAGAAATGGTAAATGCTATTGTTCTATACAAAGACTGGATTGGCTTAGCGAAGGGAAAGTAAATGTCTCTGAGTTTGTGAGATTCTACTGTGCATCTTATTCTGCTAGTGTTGGCACGTTGATGCCCCGCTCATGCTGACCGGTCAATCAAGAGGTGGTGGTACCACACATCCTCATGTAGATCTTAAAGGGTATCAGGTCACAAGGGGGTAGGTGCTAGCAAGTTCAAGGACAGAGAGATGTACAAAAGCCTTCATGGAGTCTGGCAGCAAGCACTCTGGACTGGTGTCATCAGACCTGGGTTCTAGTCTGTCTCTGCATCTAACCACTGTGATGCTGGGAGGCCTTCTAACATTGGTAGGTTCAATGGACTAATTCTCAAATCAGGACCATACAGTGGGCTTAGAATGGAAGATTTATTCCAGCGCTGACATTCTGCAACTCTCAAGATCTTACTCAATGAAATTGGAAGAAGAGCCAGGCATATTACATTTTACTCACATGCAATGAATGAGGCTGTAAATTCTAAAGAGTATTCCCATTTGGTAATTTGCTTTTAAAGAAACAATTTTATATTTATATAATATATTTCAGTCTTTAAAAAATTCTATTCCTGTTAGAATCTAAATTTTATAGCTATGAAAAGAGATGCATGGAGACATGAAATAATGTGAATGATGTTATATAGGGCAAAATTATTAACATGAGAATATTCATAGACTTTCTGCTCACCTATCTTAGAAAAGAAATACTATAATTAAATTACCAGGTCCATTTCCTTTTTTTTTTTTAACACCCTGAAGAAGAACAGCATCTTGCTGGAAGAGACACTAAGGGGTTATATATAATAACAGGCTGAATGAGAAGAAAAAGTTTGCTCAGTGAGTAGGGAGTTGGAGTTCCTGCACTGTGTGAAGGAAGTTGTCTAGAAATTTGAAATATCACTTTAGTGAGTTTGTTATTACGGATCTCTCAAACACATAAAGTTTACTTTTTAGTTCTTCATGGTTGTTGTTTCTTAAATGTACAACTCTAACATCAAACTATGCGATGCCAAGATTTTTGAGGGTGACCATGCTAAATGAAAGTTAGAGATCCAGTTCCAAATAGCTTCTAAGATCTTTTTAGGCTCAAACAGGGCCCCTTCTGCCCAGGTTTTTCTTTTCTCTCTGTGGGTGGACACCAGGGCTATCTCTGGCTTGTGGACTTGGAGACATTGAATTGAGACTATACCCGGTTATAGGTTAGCTGGTAACATTAGTCCCCATCTTTTCTAACACACCCCATTTCAAATTCATTCTCTTCTAGAATCACTTTCTTTTCAACTCTGGCTGTATGCTGCCAATGGAGTTTGGATCGTTCCTAGTCTAACACCAATTTGATCATATGAGAGGATGAGAAAGCATAATCACAAAACACCAAGGCCTTAAGTAAAAACCTCTTCACTTAAAGCATATGTAAACCAGGGTACATGAAATGTTCCTGGAAAATCACTAGAATGAGCTATGAAGATTTCCATCCAATTATATCTCCTTTTCATAGCAGTGCCATTTGAAAGAGAAAAAAAAAAAAGACTCTGATTTATTCCTTCTTTTAATCAATATTTCTGCAAAACCTCTAGATGTAAAGGTCATATTTTAAGATCACTTAGACACAAATCAATACTTCAATATTGCATTATTTTCTTTATACTTGTGTTTCAGCATTTTTTATTAATAAAAATCTAGCTGTATCTATTAATTATGTTAATCCAAAATTAACAACTCCTACAAAGAGTGACTGCAGGGCTTAAACGAGTGAGAGGTGTCTTTTTCTTGTGTAGCTGCTGACTGGAGGTAGAAGCCCAGGCTGGGGCAGCTTCTCAAGGATGTCCAGGGATCAGGCTCAATTCACTTTCCTGCTCTGCTGTTCACAGTCGTGTCCAAGTGACCACAGCGTGGCTGCTGTGCATTCAGGAAAGAAGAAAGAAAGAAAACAGGATTTCTTTGATCCTGAAGGGACAGCCTCTAGAGATATTTGTGCCTATATTTCATTGACTAAAACAGAGTCACATGGCCTACCCTAGCTACAAGGGAATCTGGGAAGGTTCTGTAGTAGAGGGAAGCAAGGGAAAGGGGCGTAGGTTTGGGTGTCAGTAAGCTAGCCTATGATGCCTGCCATTTATACGTAACAGTGACTGCAGCCTACTAGATGGTTTCACAATAATGTACAAAGATTATAAAGGCAAAATGCTTTCTAAATTATAAAATGCTTTGAGGTATATTTAAATGATTATCTTTGAGGTATATTTAAATGATTAAATGAATTTGTAACTTCCAAAGAATTTTATGAAAACATTGCTTGTCTCTGACTTTGATTCCATACTTGGCATATCAGAAATATATAGTCTTAACCAATACGATAGCATTATCTCCTCTCTTTTCAGTAATCATTGTTAATACCGGTAGGTACTGTTCTGGGTCACCTCAGGTGAACATTTTCCTTTTTATCTCCAGCTATTTTGTTGTCCTCACATTTATCTCTTTGTATCTGAGAATAGAAGCTGTACCTGAATTACAAACAGGAGGGATTGGCCAATTCACCAGCTGGCTATGTATTCTTCTTCCTTAATCTGCTGCACATTTTGTCCAAGTGCTGATTTATTGCATTGAGTAGTTGTACCCAGAGAGCTATATGCCAATCATGTGCACCCTGATTACTCATTATGAGCCTTAGGATACGATACAACTCACTAATGAGCACATTATAATGCTGGCCAGTGCCAATTAGATGATAATCATGTGTTTGCTTTATTTACAGTCCATCTATTTAAATTAATTGGGCATTTAATTGAACACAGTGTGAAAGAAATTGGAATTGGGTTTCTCAGTTTGTTTAAGTTACTTTCATCTGCCATTTCATTTCACAGGTAGGTGAAATTAACTCACTTGATCTGGAAATTTAGAGCAAATACAAATGAACATCATAGTTATTTTATAATGGCACATATGTGTAAATTTATCTCAAAATGTGTTAGAAAACAGCAATAAAATTTGCAATTTTTACATTTCCACTGACATCCTCATGTGACATGATTACAGAGAGAGTCTACATGCAGAGGAGACATTAATAAATCCATCCCTTAGTTGGAAATATGAGGAGGGATCTTAAACTAACCTGATGAGCATGTTCTAATACTTCCTTAGGATAAGAAATTTACATCATTCATAAATAAATATGTGGCAAACCATATTTAATTATGATGCTATGTATTTTTCTTTTTCTGGATATAGTATCAAAATATTTCAGAATCTACATTTTTTTTAGTGAGCGTTTAATTGCCCCAAATTGCATGCATTGAATACACCACTGAATTCAAAGTGTCTTTTCATTAAAATAATTTCATAATAACACATGTAGAATAGATATAGAGTAACTACATGAAAAAGAGTTTCTAGACAAAAGATCTAGAGATCAACTCTTCTATGTTTAGATCTTTGTCTGAACAAGTTTTCCAAAGTTTTTGAGTACAGTATAAAAACACATTTCAAGGAAGAAACAATTCATGTTTTTATGATTAAAAAAACCAAACCCTTGCCTGAGGGTATTTTTCCATTTCAGATAAAGTGGGAGGGAGGGAGGGAAGGAGGGAGGGAGAGGAAAACACCAGTGTGAGGAAGACACATTGACTGGCTGCTTCTTGCATGACCCCAACCAGGCCGGGGATGAACCGCAACCAAGGTACCGCAACCCAGGTACGTGTCCTTGACCAGAATCAAACTTGTGACTCCTTGGTCCGTGAGCTGATGCTCCAACTGCTGAGCCAAACTGGCCAGGGCTGAGCTCATGTTTCTATAAGACTCACATTGTAGAGGAACAACTGAGGCTCAGACCACGACATACAGGAACCTGGATTCTCTAACCCTGACTGTCTGATAGAGTGACCTCTAGTCACCTGTTGCTACTGGGAACTTGACATGTAGCTAGTCTGGACAGAAATATGTAGCAAGTGTAAATACATATTGGTGTTTGGATATTCAACACGATAAAATAAATTTTTAAATAATTAATTAATTTATTTTTGTTACAGATGTTTCTCCTTTTTTCCCCGATTCCCCCCTTCCCCTCCCTCCCCGCCCTGTCCCCAGCTTTGTTGTCCATGTCCATTGTCCATGCACACATGCATGTAAGTTCTGCGGTTCATCTCTTCCCCAACACCCCCTCTTCTGGGGATTGTCAGTCTGTACCCCACTTCCACATCTCTGGGGCTACCCCATTCTTCAGACTGTTATGTTCATTATATTCCACAAATAAGTGAGATCATATACTTGTCTTTCTCTGTTTGGCTTGTTTCGCTTAGGATAATACTTTCCAGGTCCCTCCATGTCGTCTCAAAGGATAAGAGATCTTTCTTTCATACAGGTGCATAGTACTCCATTGTGTATATGTACCACTGCTTTTTTATCCATTTTATCCAAGTGATGGACACTTGGGCTGTTTCCAGATCTCAGCTATTGTAAATAGTGCTGCTATGAACATGGGGGTACATATATTATTTCTGATTGGTGTTTCAGGCTTCTGAGGGTATATTCCTAGAAGTGGGATCACTGGGTCAAATGGCAGTTCAATTTTTAATTTTTTGAGGTAGCACCATATTGTTTTCCATAGTAACATGATAAAATAATTTAAAATATTAATTTTTATATTGATTACATGTTGTAGTGATAATATTTTGGATATATAGAGTTAAATAAAATATATTATTAACATTAATTTCACCTTTTTTCTTATTCTTTCTTTAATGTAACTAGAAATTTTTAAATTATATATGTGATTTACATCAGTAGCTCATATAGTATTTCCATTTGAAGGCATTGCTCTATACCAGTGGGAAGAAGGAACATTTACCACTTTTATTGTCTCAGGGCTGACAAATTATGGGCTCAGAAACGAAAAAATAAAAACCTCCTCTGCCCGTGAGGAGTTCGAAGTCTCATTTACTCCGAGACTTCTCACTGATGCCATGTGACAATGGGGACCGGCTCCGCACAGAGAAATCACTGGGCGGTGCCGGAGAAGCTGCTCCTCACTGGCTGCTCACTCACACTGCACCTACTTCCTTTCATTTTCTATATACAGACAATTAAAACTAAATTATTATTGAAGGTCATTAGAAGTTAGCTTGGATCCCAGTGTGTGACAGTATGTGCAAAAGTAAAATAATCATCATGTCTTCTTAAAGGAAAAAAGAAAAAGATAACCCACAGCACGTTGTCATTGGTGCATCGTCCACGTGTGGAGTCAGGTCAACTGATGGGGGCTCCTGTAGTGACTAGTTTGTAGTAGGCTCCTTTCTGGGCCATCAGTTCTTTATGGCTCCCCTTTTCAATCACTGTCCCCTGTGACATGACAGCAATAATATTCGAGTTCTGGATGGTGGACAAACGGTGGGCAATGACAATGCAGGTCCGACCTTCTCTGGCTTTGTCCAGGGCAATCTGCACTGTCTGCAAAGAAAAGGTAGAAAGATGATGCAAAGATACATGCATGTTCCCTGGCCCACCATTGCAAGAGTTCTGTGCAATACCACCTGAGGAACATTGCTATAGTCAGGGGTTAAACCCAAAGGCTTGGCATAAAAGAAGTGTTTGCTGAATACAATGCATCAGGGGTTTGCACTGCAGTCCCTAGGCTGAAGAATTTCAGGGAAGTGAGACTCAATCAAACTATGAGGTCATTATGCAATTTCAAAATACCCGATGGTCTAGTTTGATCTAATGAGACCCAGGAAGCAAGGGAAGGTAGCAGTCATTGACCATTCCTGATTTTGTTCTTCACTGAGGACATTTTAGCTGTCTCCAAAGTGGAATCCCAGTTTCTAAGGAGTTAATAAATGTTAAATTTCATAATTGTGTTTTGCCCGATTGCATTTCCCTTCATGCAAACTGCGTATCAGATACAGCCTCTTATTTGGTGTTGTATGCTCTGCCACATGACTTTAGGAATATAAAAATTAAAATGCCCAACAGGTGACCTAGATTATTTTACTTTACTTAAGAAAGTTAATTATTTGCCCTTGAACAAATGTCACCAAGACTAGAGAATCTTAAAAACAATTTTTATTTTAAAGTTAAAAAAAATTTATATTTGAAGGAACCCTATTTTAAATCACTTTCTCTGGATCAATGATTTTTGACTAGTGTGCCACAAGAATTGTTAAACATGCAATACCTGACTACTTAGTCAGGGGCACTGACCTCTTTTCTCTTAGATTGTCAAATAAAAAATGACAACAGCCAACACAACAATAGCCGTCTGATGCAAATGAATCAAAATTACACCTATTTTTTTGTCAAACTGGCAAAAAATATGTATTTTTTTGGTGCGCTGTAGAATTTTAGTAATTAGTTAATGTGTGCCATGAGATGAAAAGGGTTAAAATCACTGCTCTAGATTATTGTCCTTGTCTCCACAAAGTATTGGCAATTTCTACTGTTAATGAATCAGAAAATTGAAAACAGTGCCATTTTACAAGGACAAATATTACAGGGAAAAAACTCATTTATAGTGATCCAAGACTTCAGGAAATCAATACCTACCTTTTCACTTTCTGTGTCTAAGGCAGAAGTAGCTTCATCTAGCAGCAAGATTTTAGGGTCTCGCACAATGGCCCGAGCGATAGCAATGCGTTGTTTCTCTCCTCGAGAGAGTTGAGACCCCTGAGACCCAACGTTAGTTTCATATTTCTGCAAAAAGCATGATACATTTGAAAACCAGTAGCAGACACTGCTCCTATGCTGCACGGAGTCCCCATCAGTGACCCCTCTGGGAATTGAAGTAACTTGCTGCTTTATAAAATTGAAAAGAATGAGTCCTTCATTATGGGATGTCAAATCCATTTAGAAATCTTAGACAATGTGGATCTTGTGACCTTTTTTGTTGGGAACCAAGGGGACTTTATATACCCTTCTCTGCTTTGTATTTTTTCTTTCAGCTTTGTATTTTTTCTCTCTTTCTCCCTGTGTGTGAGATTCCTCCCTGATTCAAGATTTCTTGATTTTCAAACTCAGGAAGATCTTTCTACGACAGAATAATCCTCGGAATGGAAGGACCTTGCGGGTAATCTTCCAGTCCAGCCCCTGCTGAGGAGACATCATCCCAGAACACAAGCCTGGCTGTGAATCTCCACCCCACTGCTCACTAGCTCTGTGATCATGAGAAAATTATTTAAATTTTTTTGAGGTACAAACTAGTCTGAAGGATGCAGATATTAATAACTAGTATTTGTTCTGAGTTTTAGGTGAAATTATAAAGAAAAAAGTCCTAGCTAGATACCTGGTATGACTATATAAAGAATAGTTAACATTTGTAGAATATTTACTATGCATCAGTGATTGTGCTAACTATTCTAGCCAGATTATCATTTAATATTCACAAAAATTGTTTGTTTCCCTATTTTGTAGATGACAAAACATATGCACACACAGGTAAGCAAATTGTATAAAGACAAACAGATAAAAAGCAGCAAGAGTCACATCGAAGTCCGGGTGCGTCTAGCTTCTGAGCCCTTGCCCTTGATCATACTCGGTCTGCCTCCGCCTCCCTCACCTCCTGACAAATGCTCAACCAAGCCAAGTGAGACACGTAATAACCTACTTTGTCTTACTTTAACTGCTGAGAAAAAGTGCTCAGTAAAAGGTATTGTAAGTAAGTCTATATGAGAAAGAGGCAATAAATTAACTTGAAGCCAGTGTCTCCCACAAAATGAGTAGTTGCTCAACAAAGATTTGTGGAATACATGAATCTTCCCATGGACACGAGCTTTGCTTTGCGTTTAGGATACAGCAAATAGTAATTCCCACATTAGGCTACCCAAGTTAGATGAGGTCAGGAGCCTAAGACTTAGAAGTCTTTGTGAAAAGAACAAAGAAAAAAGCCCAGCACAATTGCCACAAAACGTAGAATCACTTGCAAAGAAAAGCAATGTCCCAGTGGTATTTAAAAGAAAGAAGTGGAAAATGTTAACTGTAATATTTGGCTGCTAAAATTCAGTGTCCATGTCTTAATTTTCTCTGTAATCAATCGCCAAGAGAGACTCTTGGTTGATGGAAAAATTCAGGGTCAATACTGTGCTCAGTCAAACTTGGCTCTGGAAAAGTGTGACACACTAAGGCAGAGGCACCTCACCCCACAGCTGCTGTGCATGCTGCCAAGTAATGAAATTAGGACGACGATGATAATAACAGCAGCAGCTTTCTTTGTGTGGCTATTATGTATATTCTTTCATTTTAATGTTATCTTTTGCATTTTGCAGGTGACTGAGTCTCAGACAAGATAAGTAATTGTCCCCAAGTTACACAGCTAGCAAATGGCAGAGCTTGGATTCACATCGATGTCTGCTTTAAACCTCAGGACTTTTTTTCACTATGCTAAGTTGATGCTCAATGTGCTACTGCTTTTATGTACAACGAGTTCTATAGCATCCTTTGCACCTGATAATATAATACTTTCCAAAACTAAAGAGAATGTTGATGAGGCATATTTATTTTGCTTGAAAAACTGAGATCAACCCCAGGCATTGGGAAATAAATTGTGTTGCCTTTGACCTTCTCTTCGAGCCCAAATTATAATACTCTTTGGTTATATACGCCATCACCATCTCCCATAGGGAGTCCTTCTGATGTGGTACTCACCTCTGGGAGTGACATGACAAAGTCATGCAGCTGAGCCTGCTTTGCAGCTTCTATGACTTTTTCCATGGGAATTTCTTTGGTGTTGTCCCCATACCTGATATTGTCCATTATGCTACAGGCAAACAACACTGGTTCCTGGGAAACAATTCCAATGTTCGAGCGAAGAAACTGGACATTTACCTTCTTGCTGTCGTGCCCATCTATCATCTGCCAACGGGGTGACAACCAGGGCATTGCGTTTTAGAATTCTAGCATCGAGGAAAGTTTATATTCTAGAGTTAGTGTTATGTAGGACATTGCTTTGCTTAAGATCAGACTATGGTTTTGTTTGCTTCCCAAACTCTAGCTCTGCAGGTGGTACAAATGAGAAAGGTATTGAGGACAGTATTTAGTTTTTTAAAAAAAATTCCCCTTATGCTTTGGTGCAGGACATCCTCTACAAGTTTGCAGAACTACTCAGTTTGAGACCCCATGGGTTATAAAATTGGACAACATAAGAATCAGACCTGTTTCTGTGATCTTACTGAACACTAGCCTCCGCATAAGTGAGATAATAAACCCACGTAAGAAAGGGGTATATTTATTCACTTACGCAGTCAACATCTTTTGTCTGCTTTAGGAAGAAAATATAATCTCTTAGGAACTCACCCCCTAGTCAAGCAGTTAAGTATAAGAACTCATATATCTACCATTTGAGCTAGTTCACTTAAAGCCCTAGAATAGTTAAGATACAGTATGTCTAACATATTATTGTAAAGTATTTGGCCCTATGATTTCTGAAAAAGACTAGGGTAAATAGTGTGAGCATATTATATTGTAGATAATATCTCAGCAATGGGAAAAGCAAACACTATTCGAAAAAACATAAGGCATTCCTTAACAATTAGCCCTCTCTCATTTTCCTCTGCTCATTTTCCATAGTACTTAAAGTCTGCAAAGCACAATTTAATACTTAATTAAATGCTGGAGCTGTTTGCTCATTATTGTGCATGTGCTAGTAAGTTCCCAGAAGACGGAGACATGCTTCACACTCCTTAGACTCTCCTGCAGGGCCCAAGGCAGACTGCTCATCATTGGCCTCCAAATAAATGTTGAAAATGTTGAATGCTTGCATTTGGTGTCTTCCTTAAGAGCAAAGAGAATTTTTCAAAATTGCATAAAAGGTGGTATTTTTTCTACTTAAAAATGTTTATGGAAATATTTTACAATGATGACAAAATCTATTGGGCCCATGAAATGCAAGGAATTATATTGATTATATTGATTTTTTTCATGGGCATTGCTTTCTACCTGTGACCAGAATTTTCACAGAGTACATTCAGAGAAATATACTTAATGTATGTGTTTTTCTCAGCATTTCTCTTCAAAATATGATCTATCCTCAATGAAGATTAAATTATCCAGGGAAATAAAAAAGGCCTTTTTCAAAATATTAAGATGAAACAATCAATCAAGTGTGGAGCACAATAAATCATTTTCAGACCCATGCCTCTGAATCACATGTTGGAAAACTACTGTGCATGCACTCTAACAAAGTGAGAGTGAAAAGCAAGAGAGAGGAAGATATAGAGACTAGGAAATGAAGCACCTAATCTAAGAAAATATTGCAGGAAATTCACAGGAGACAATTTTCAGCATGTACAGGTTGTAATTAGCCCAGGCAGTGGCAGAAATGAGGGAAAGAAGCAGGTCCCTCAGAATAGGTAGCAAGATAAAAATATTGGAAGAACACAAAGATTTTACAAGGCAGAGGATAAAAAAAAAAAAAAAAAGCCTTTCAGAAAAACAAGAAAGAAAATGTAATGCTAATATACATCACAACTTGACTAAGTGATAAACACTATTTATTTGCATAATCATAATAAAAGTTGTTAATTGATTTTCAACTTTTAGAACCAGCCTAGAGTGAAAGCATGAGAGATGAATGTTATAAACGAATGTAGCGTTTTATATTCTTGATCATATAAAAGTGTAGTTATTAGGACTTGACAGGTAAAAGGAGGAAGAAGCGAAAATAAGGGTTGAACTGCTAATAGTCTCATCTTAGAAAGGGAGAATTTAAGAGATGTTATCTACAGGTGGTGAAGAGAAACAGAAATGCATTAGTTAAATATTTCACTTGCTTTTCATTACCAATCTTTCTTATTTTATTTTGTACTCCTCTGCACATATTATTTAGAAACAAACAAACAGAGGAGAGAAAAGAGAAGAAATGCTGTAGAAAATAAGCAACAAAAGAATCCACCAACTTTCAAACAATCTCATAAAAGCTTTATGGCACATGATTACCATTTGAGTTCCTTATACTATTTAGACTTAAGCATCTTGAACCAGGATTGTCTCTAATTTTTTCACGCTAAGTCCCCTTTCTCGCTCATCTATCACTGTGTCTGTTATCACCCCCACTTTTTCCGTTCCCAGTCATTAGTCTCCTGATTAGTCTGCACTTTCTGCTCCATTTACGGGTAAGCGAATGCTTCTGTTAAATACGCTCATCTCCAGCTTTGCAGTGTGCCCAGTTTTCTTTGCCTAACTGGTCAGCAGGCCATCTGGAACTGGGAGGAATATAATATTAGAAATTGTGAGGTAGAATCAGGTCAACCAGCACATGACTGGTACTGAAAACAATCCACAGGGGTGAGTGTCCAAGGCTAGTGCTTTAGAGTGAGTTTGGCAAGGCGCAATCTTGAAGACCACTTTCAGGGGTTAGAGATATTCTGCAGAAAGTAAACTTCTCTAAAGCATCTGCTTTGCTTACCACCTTCCCATGGTCAGGATCATAGAAACGTTCCAACAGCTGAACACTGGTACTTTTACCACATCCACTGCTTCCCACAAATGCCAGTGTCTCCCCGGGTTTGACCGACACCGAGAGACCATTCAGAACTTGTATATCAGGTCGAGAAGGATATGTAAACTTACAGTCAACAAAGTCAATTTGCCCCTGGAAGTTGTCCTGTGAACAGAAAGATTGGAATTACATATATTCCTACTAGAATCTAGAATATTGAAAATGCACCTAAATCTGAGCTTTATATCCCTACTTAAGATACCTTCAATGCCATGCTGCCAAAGTGCCAGGTATAAAGACAATAGCTTAATGAATTCCCTATTCTAGCAGGTGTAGAACAAAGGAAGGCTGGAGCAGTGGAATTAAAGACATTTGAGCTCTTATTCCCATTCTAACGTAAGGGGATGTCCTTGTCATCCATTACTTGACATTCTGGAAGAATGTCAAATGGAAGAGACTAGCTAGAATATATGATTACATCACAGAAGCCAGGAACTGCCCCAACCCCTATATCTTTATTTCCTCAAAGATTCAAAGTTATAGCATTACACTTGGAGCGACTTAGAAACTTACTGAAGCCCTGTATTGCAAATATGGACACCTTCAGTTGTACTATCTAAATTATGGATTCTAGAAATGGATAGACATTTAATAGCCCATACAGAGACTTTACTTGTATTGAGCTGAAGCTGAAGGAGAAGCGGGTCATTTGGCCAATTTAAAAATATTTCTAAATGTAGTTTTAGAAATCTAAATTTAGTTTTAGTTTTAGATTTGTTTTGTCTCCTGAACAAAAAACACCTGTGGAGACTATCAATTAGAAAAAAAGCTATTTTATTAAGCTCAAATTAATTTTCTGGCAGTCCATATGAAGGAACTAAAACTTGAACCCAGATAAACATGAATTACATCAATATTATTGGACAGAAAAAAACCTATTTTTTCTACATTCCATACCAGAACATCAGTAGAAAATATGGTGTTTGGGTAGCTTCATTATTCTGGAATTAAGTGTGTTTTATAGTACACAGAATTTACCAGTCACTGGATATTGTTGTCTTCTTTAAATGCCTGCTTTATGAGTCATTTTTAATGCTAATTTACTTCATTTATTTACATTTATAAATCTGTCCATTCTGAGTGCATATGAATGAACTCATGTACTGCAGGAATTTAGAAGCTAAGTGTTGTTGTATGATCAGCCCCAATAGCTGTTGTGCATACACACTTACATGAGTGTGCACGACCTTCCCCCACTGCTCTTGTACCCCCACCTCAGTACTTACCCATTTTTCACCTGCACCACTGTATACATTGATTGGGGGTCGTCGGTCCAGCAGTTGAAAAAAGCGTGCCGCCGATATCTTAGCTTTGGCATAACTCGGGGTGTAAGAATAGGCTCTTCCAAGAGCTGTTGCACTCAGTACAACTGAAGAGATCACCCTGAAATTGGACACCCATGTAGACAGGGGTGTGGTATGGTTGGTGTGGTGGCCCAAGAGGCAGAGGGGTTTGCTAGCAAAGAGCTGAGCAGCTTTGGGCAGGTTACTTTAGACTTGTTTGGGAAGATGGGATTGGAGAGATTAGCAGTTTTCAAATTGTGTTCTATGAAAAAAGAGTTAGGGGAGGATTAAATGAGGGAGGCTCAGATCTCCAAACCCTGCTTCAACTACAATAGCCTCTTTTAAAAAAATATGTTCGAGAAAAGACTTCTTTAAAAGAAAAAAAGAAGAAGAAGAAGAGAGCATGAAAAATCACCAGATTGGGTTAATAACATTTTTTAAGTCTATCATAAGTGCATAAGAGAGAGTGATTGGTGATAAATGCATCAATCTATACCAAGCATGCATGTAATTCATGTTTCAGACAGCACAGGAAAGATATAATTGCTTGTATCCTCCTACTTGGCCCAGTCTCTAACTATATTTAACATGTGTGTAGTTAATGAGCAAATGAGTAAATGAATAAATGAAAGATAAACACGGTAAGAAACAGCTCTGTTGCTATACACACTATGATATGAGGGGCACCTGGCAAAGCTGTCCACCTGCACTGCCAAGCACAGAGGCTCTGCCTCCATAGTGGTAGGGAGCAGTGGTGTGTGTTTTATTGTTCAGGTCACAAGCAGACATTGTTTTGAGCCAGACTTGCAAACCCAAACATCTCTAGGAGTCCAGTCCAAAGCTTAAAACAATGGAAAACAACTGGAATAAAATGGGAAATGGTGGAGGGTGATCTTTCAGTTTTTAAAGAGAAGATAGAAATTAGGAGCTTTCTGTAGTCTCTGAATTTTTATGTGTTGGCAAACAATTCTTCAAAAATCTTCCATAAACTAAACAAGTCAACTGTTTGTGATTTCGGATTTAAGTTAGTAGCTCTAAATGTGCAAGCATTTAGAAAAGAGACTTTCCTGGTTGGGGTCAGCGCAATGGGGCAGGAGGGCAAAAACATCTTCCATACTGATTATCAGAGGCAAGAAGACAGAACTCATGACTTGAGAATGAACCCGAGAGAACAGATTTCTGTTGGAACCACTTTCCTGAATGCCCTCCATACCATCTTTTCTCAGACCATTTTGCCTTACCCCCATATCTCCCCGCTACATCACACCCATATACATGGCCCTTGGTTCCCTGACACCTTTAGGCTCTCACCCAAAGATGTGAGAAACTGGACTCAAAGCTAACCTTACTAGAAGAGCAGGCACCAGCTACAAGAAAGGAGCACAATTCCCCTGAACCACCTCTTCCTGTCTCCACCTAGGAGGAGTCAGCTGGAAACGTGCTCTTCTGGTAAGAAGTAGAGTTCAAATAAGGCAGTTTTCTGAACTATCTCAGTCAAGGCCTCTAGATTTTCTCAGCATTAGCCAGTATGTAGCTATGAAAATGGTTAATTCATCCTATTACTATGTATGCACCCCGTTGCAACATGACTCCCCTATGATATTGTGATTTATAATAAGAAACACAGAACACCTAAACCCTTGGAATTTCCTGTATCTCAAGAGCAATCTAGGGCCCTGGCCAGTTTGGCTCAGCGGTTAGAGCGTCGGCCTGCAGTCCGGAGAGGCCCGGGTTCGGTTCCCGCTAAGGGCATGTACTTCGGTTGCAGTTTGTCCCCGGCCCTGGTTGGTCGTGCGGGTGGCAGCCACTCAATGTGTCCCTTCACATCGATGTTTCTCTCTCTCTCTCCCTTCCTCTCTCTCCCTCCCACTCTATCTGTACAAAAAATGGAAAAATGTCCTCGGGTGAGGATAAAAAAAAAAAAGAAAAGAAAAAAGAGCAATCTAGGTGTTTTTAGCTGTTTGGAAAGCCCCTAGGTGACCCAAGGATGGGGCAGATGCCAGAGGAAGCAATCATTTGATTAAGGGGTGAAACTTTCAGTCTCTCCCCCTGCATTTCACCTCCAGGGAAGGGTAGAGTGTCTGAGGGATCTACGGGTGGGGTGATCGGCAGTCTTGTAGGACTGTGTCATTCGCTGTGGGCTCTGACACTATCTGTAGGCACATGGAGTCAGAATGAAGTTGAATTGTAGGATATCCATCAGGTGTCAGAAGTGCTGTGAGTGTGACAGCAGAGTGAGAATGAAGGAGAAACGTGTCAGATCTTTTCATCAGAAGGTGGATTTCACCCGGCGAGTGTGGCTCACTGGTTGAGCGTCCACCCTTGCACCAAGAGGTCACTGGTTTGATTCCCAGGCGGGGCACATGCCCAGGTTGTGGGCCAAATACCCAGTGGGGGGCATGCAGGAGGCAGCCAATTGATGTTCTCTCTCATCGGTGTTTCTATCTCTCCTTCTCCCTTCCTCTCTCTCTCTCTAATATCAATAAAGAAAAAAAAAAGGGTGGATTTCATTTCTTTATTCTTTATATCTGGGATTAGTTGTATGACTTTATTTGACCAAAGAAATAGAAAATGTGCTGCATGCAGAGACGTGAGAAGGGCTTGCACACCAGGGCTTGCTCTCTTTGTTGCCCTTGGAACTCTGAGACCATATTGCAAAGAAAAGGAGCTGGCCTCCTGGAGTGGCCCTGTGGAGACAGATGCCTGACTGAGCTGACCCAGTCCAGAAGAACCACCCGAGAATCCAAAGAATCTTGAGAAATAATAAATCCCAGCCATTTAAGACACCAAGTTTGGGATGGTTTGTTAAGCAGCAAAAGCTAACTTATAGAACCAAGCTATTTCTCTCAGAATGTTGCTCACCTGAACACATAGCTGAAATGGAGCCCCTCATTGTAGATTAAGTAGCCTCCATATCTGTAGGAAGCAGAATTAGCAACAAACACAACACATTGGGAAAAACCAAAGCAGAATCCATAGACATTTGCTTTTCGAATGGCTGTCTTGAATGGCTTCACCAGCTCCCTCTCAAATGCTTCAATAAACTGCCTCTCCTTTCCAATTCCAGCAATAGTGCGGATATTACTGAGGGCTTCGCTTGTAATCTGAAGAATGAAAAAGAGTCTTAGGAATGAAAGAGCAGAAATAATGACTTTCGTGACCTTTCATCTGCTATATGAATTAGAATTAAATCTAGTGTAAATGGCAGAATGCACTACACATCAGAGACAAAACCATCATCTGGGAACATATCAAAGTTGCTGGACATCAACTCAACTGGACCATGAGACATTCTGCCATTTGAACTCAAGTTCTGCTTCATACCAACATCGCTTTGTGGCCTCCACTTGTTGTGGAAGGCAGGGAGAGGGGAGATATACACATGGTTATCTTCGAGAGCTTTTTAGCGTCTTTGTTAATTCACTTAAAATGTCTAACTTAGTATCTTTAGATGTCTCCTGAGACAAAAAGTTATTTAATAATATAAATTTAATGTTTTAGCTTCTATTTTCTTAAAAACTTAATCTGACCAAATATTATTTAAAATAAATTAACATTAAGTATAAAGTTTATCTTTGGGTCTATACTCTCACTTTGTTTCAATCCACACTCTAGGGTAAATAACCACTGTTTCTGAATTAGGGTCCTGTCCTAAAAAAAGACACAAAGGTGGACTGCTTTCCACCACTGGCATACAAAATCCTTTTGGCTTCTGCCTGCTTCGGCAGTGTTCACATTCTCCCTCTTAAAAGAGAAAAAACCTAGATTACGGTCAATCTGTTGAAAGAGTGCGGGTGTGCACATGTGTCTGTGCATGATTTCTTATACCTAATAAATGTCCGTGCCGCCATCCCCTCATTTGCCCCTGAAAACCAGATATTAATTAGAACATACTTTTAAAAATGCATGACTAAACTCTAAGTGTAATTGAAATCTAAGCTGTAGCTCACGGTTCTACTTAGGAAAGACACTTACCACAAGCCTAACAGACACTAACGTGTGGAAATTAAAAGTGTGTGCATTAAAAAGATGACAACTCCTCTCCGTGTGGGGAGCCTGACCTGGGGAAACCACTGAGCTAAAAAAACTGAACAGATGGAAAACTGAACAATCTGCTCTTGCAAATGAGAATACATCAAATTGGGATATGGGAAAAAATAACTCTTTGAGAGGGAATTGAACATGTAACCAAACTGCACACGCCCCAGTGGTCCACACCTTTTTACACTCTGTATCAGAGCTTCACTGTCACAGCCTCTGGGCACGGGCACATGGGCAAAGGGCCAGTGGGAGGTTGCTAACCACAAAAGTTTGTAGGCGAACAGCTTCCTCAGTCTCTTTGTACTACACACTCATTCTTAATAGTTTACGTGACAGTCACTCAGCCATAATTGGTCTAAAAAGCAGGACTGTAACATTACCTGCCCCGCCTTCTCCAGAGCCTGCTTGTCTTGAGAGGCAAATCCCGTCAACATTCTGGTCTGTATAGCTCCCGATAAAGCCAGAAAAGGGAGGAAACACACTATGACCAGGCTTAGCTTCCAGCTAAAGAAGAAGGCAATGATCATGGCCACAGTGACGTTAGTTAAGGAATTGACCATCATCCCGATTTGGGAGCCGGCAGCCTGCAAACCAAAAGCAATCAAGCAACCTCAGACACACAGTCTCTTTTACCAAATACCGTTATGTGAAAAGGCTCCTTTATACCAAGAATATAGTTTTTAAAAAAATTTTTATGATAAAAAATATATAACATGTTTGTTATTTTAGTCATTCATAAGTGTACAATTCAATGGAATTAAATACATTCACAGTGTTGTGTAACCATCACCATCATCTATTCCCAAAACTTTTTCATCATCTTCAACAAAAAGTCTGTACTCATTAAATAAGAACCCCCATGCCTCCCTCTCCCAAGAGAATCAAATCAGAATCAAGAAGAAAATCTCCCCAACAACTTCAATGTCATTTTCTGTCTTTATGAATTTGCCTTTTCTACATACCACACGTAAGTGAAATTATACAATATCTTCCTGTGTCTAGCTTATTTTACTAAGCATAATGCTTTCAAGACCTATTTGTGTTGTGGCATGCATCAGAATTTTATTTCTTTTTCTAATTGAAGTACAGTTAAGATGCAACATTATATTAGTTTCAGGGGTACAACACAGTGAATTAACATTTAAATATCTTAAGAAATAATCACCATGATAAGTCTAGTAACCTTCTACCTGTCACCATCCAAAGTTATTACAGTGTTATTGATTATATTCCCTGTGCTGCACATTATATCCCTGTGACTTACTTATTTTATCACTGGAAGTTTATACCTCTTAATTCTCTTCACCTATTTCACCCATCTGTCTACCTCCTTCCTCTCTGGCAACCATCAGTTTGTTTTCTGTATCTGTGAGTCTGTTTGTGTTTTGTTTTGTTTTGTTTGTTCACTGGTTTTGTCTTTTAGATCTCACATATAAGTGAAATCATACAGTATTTGTCTTTGACTTATTTCACTCAGCATAATACACTCTAGGTCCATTTATGTTGTTGCAAATGGCAGTGTTTCATTCTTTTTATGGCTGAGTAGTATTCCACTGTATATACGTATTATATCTTCTTTATCTATTCATCTGTTGATGAACATTTAGGTTGTTTCCATATCTTGGCTATTGTAAATAATGCTGCAATTAAAGGGTGCATGTATCTTTTCAAATTAGTGTTTTCATTTTCTTTGGATAAATACCCAAAAGTGGAATTGCTGAATCATTCCTTTTAAAGCTGAATGATATTCCATTGTACATATAGACCACACTTTGTTTATCTATTTATCTGTTGATAAACACTTGGGTGTTTTTACCTTTTGGCCATAATAAATAATTCTTCTATTAATATTGATGTATAAATATTTATTTGTGTCCCTGCTTTCAATTATTTTGGATATATACCTAAGAGTGGAATTACTGGGTTATATGGTAGCTCTATGTTTAAAAAGGTAGGTTCTTTTAAATAATGGGCTCCCCTAATGCATTTGAAGGCTGATTTAATAAAAGTTTATTTTATTCCCAGCTCCTCGAGAACTCATCTATTGACTGATCTCATTTCATGGCTGGCAGAGCTAGAGTAGGCCGTGTGAGATTAATTCAGCCCTAAGCATGGGCTGCATGTCTATCAGGTATCTATGCACTTGGCTTCCTTGAAAATACCCAGGCATTGGGCTTGTGATAATATGATTTATTATTCAGTGAAGACTGATGCTTGCTCTATAATTACTATTTTGAAATTCATACAAGACTCTTAAAATACACCACTTTGATTTGCACTAAAGTTAGCCTGCTCATTGGTACAAAGCTACATACAGACATAATATATAGCTGTTTAGTCAACACAGATAAACAAAATGGATTCAGTCTCAATATATGCAGATATCTGACCACTGTGGTAATTATTATTTATACTAGTCAAAAGTATTCAATAATTCCAAGTCTTCATTTTACTTTCAGCTATGCAAATATGACCAAAGGTTGGTGCCTTCTGTGTAGAAGATACATGGGTGGGTACAAGTACAGGACTGCTTATCAAAATTGAAAAGATTTGAGCATTATTTAAGACAAAGAAAATACAACAACCAAAAGTAAGCTATTAGGTAACCATAGGTGCTATTCAAGAATAATCTGCAGCTTCATGCTGTATTGAAGACTCAAACAGAATATGAACTCTGTGGTCAAAAAATTCCCATATGTTGGCATTAACTCTTTTGAAGACAGGAGTAAAATCTAAATTAAGAATGTCTTACTTGGCCTGGCCCGTGTGGCTCAGTGGTTGAGTGTGGACCCATGCACCAAGAGGTCGCCAGTTCAATTCCCAGTCAGGGCACATGCCCAGGTTGTGGGTCAAATTCCCAGTTGGGGGCATGCAGGAGGCGGCCAACTGATGTTCTCTCTCATCAATATTTCCAACTCTCTCTCCCTCTCCCTTCCTATCCCTCTAAAATCAATAAAGAAAATATTTTTTTCAGTAATGTAGCCAAAGACACTCTATCTCTCTATCTCTCTATCTCCCTATCTATTATCTATCTATCTATCTATCTATCTATCTATCTATCTATCTATCTATCATCTATCTATCTATCCAAAAAAGGATCATACTCTACTTATTACTTTGTATTTTGATTTTTTCCACTTAGTATAACATAACCATCCCTCCAGATCATTATATATGGCACTTTTAAAAATAGCTACCTAATATTCTTTAGTATGATTATATCATAATTTATTCAACTATTTTCCTATTGGAAGATATTTAAGTAGTTTTCAAGGAATTTGATTAAAATTTTGGTCAATACAAAAAATATCTTTGAATGCACATAGTCACACAATAGGAGAGAATTTACTATGCATAAATTTTGGTCAGTTGGTTTACCTACCTGATTACTCTCTAAAAAATGTTGAAAGAATTTATACTCTGATCAATATAATATGCCAGTTTCTTCTGGTCCTCACAAATATAGGAAGTTATAATTCATGACAGTTTTACTGAGTTGATAGGTGCAAAATGACATCTTATTGTTTTATTAGTGTGGCTCAATTAGTGAAGTTGAACAATGCTTCACTTGTTAATTACCTTTTACATTTCTTTTTGGGGGTCAGGGAATTTCCTGTCCATATACCTATTTTTAACCTTTTTTATTAATCCATTTATGTTCTCTTATCAATTTTAGAAGTACTACACATATTAGAGGAACAAGATAGAAAGATATATTAATATAGCTATAAATCTTGCTAAAAACTAAAGAGTCTTGTTTGTATGCTTCTCTTAGTAACTTTTAGTACCTCCACAAAGCAATCTGTGAGCGAGTGAATATGTGTATGCGTGTTTAATCAGAATCAAAATGAAATTTTTGAAAGAGAAAATTATTGTGCAGAGATCTGCCTTACCAGATGATAAAAACTCATTATAAAGTTATAATAATTAAAACACGAGGGTTCTGGCACAGAATAAATAAAATTGATCAACAAAATAGAATAGAGATTCCCCATATAGTAGTTCTAAGTGTATATCGAAAGTTGATATTATTCACAACAGGCAGGAGAATTTTCAATCAATAGAAATGGAATCTATATTAAATACTTTTGGACCATTTTCTATTCATCTTGAAGGGGGGAAAAAAAGCCAAATTTCTACCTTACACCAATATTAAAATAAATTTGACCAGGTTAAGTATTCTCAGTTTAAAAATATATTAGAAAATCTCTTAAAAATCTTTTTTTTAAAAAAAGTATAGGTAAATTTTTGTGAGACGATTAGATGCTACCCTCTGATTTCTAGTGAGAGTGAATAACCTTTCAGAGCTCCTTGCAGACTGAAAGACACAAAAGTAGAAAAAATTGTGGTTTGTGTATTTAACCTAAGTTCCAGAGTAAGGTGAACTAGGCGCTAGAATACTCTGGGTAAGAGAGCGAAATTGGTATAGACTTTCTCTAAGCAGTAAGACAATGCACATTAAACCTTTAAAAATGATTATACTTTGAGTATAATCCAATGATTACACTTTGAGAACAAAAGAAAAATGAAGGATGTGCTAAGCTAAGGAGGCTTCTTCCCACACACTCTTTGCTTCCCCCTCGGGGGGTTGCTATTCAGTCCTGTGGAATCTGGGTCTTTGAGCCTAAAAATGTTCTAAGAGTCTCAGAAAAATCCTTCTTAATTACGAGACTCAGAGGAAATGCAAAACCCCAACATATCTGACTCATACTGTAACACTGATTCTGGGCACTGCCTGTTTCTTAGATTTGGAAATGCTGGGAAATGAGGCTCTGAGCAGCTCAATCCTGCGAGGTCCCGTGATTGCCCAAAGGCTCAAACTCCAGTTACTTCATGCCCAGTACACAACCCCCACCCTGCCCATAGCTTACCCCTTGAACTTGGGAAGCATCTGTAGCAAGCCTTGTTGTCAGTGCTCCAGGGCTATTTCTGAGGTCATCAAACCAGCCGATATCTTGGCCTAATATTGCTCTGAAACCAAATTTCCGTAGCCTTTTTGTGAGGAGTTCTCCAGCTTTAGCAAAAGTGTATCCCTAAAACATGAGAGTCTTTAGTGATATGTTAATGTGAAAAAGAGGGAAACAGCTAAATCACTTATTTAGAAATAAAATGTCTTACCTGCAGAAATTGAGTGCAAAGGGATACACAGCCCATTGCTACAAAAAGCAGGCACACGGCGTGGATCTGGGACCTTTGTTCTTCTTTATCAGGAAGTGAAAAAGTCTTTGCAAGACAGTAAGCAAGGAAGTAACTTTATTATTACAAACAATAGCAAAAGTAAATTTCTTTTAGAAATTCTCTTAAACATCGAGTTAAAAATGAATTCACTTTAAACATACTAGTAATTAAGTCAAAGTGTACTTGAATTCCCTGTGGGGAAGTAAGCCTGGAGCGTGAAAACCAATGGTTATGACTTACAGAATTTTTGTCTTGTTTCTTTGCTTGATGTAGGCAATTGTGTTGGTTTTCTTTCTTTTTTTTTTTTTTTATCCTCACCCGAGGACATTTTTCCATCTTTTGCACAGATAGAGTAGGAGGGAGAGAGAGGAAGAGAGAGAAACATAGATGTGAAAGGGACACATCGAGTGGCTGCCACCCGCACGACCAACCAGAGCCGGGGACAAACTGCAACCGAGGTACATGCCCTTAGTGGGAATTGAACCCGGGTCTCTCCGGACCGCAGGCCGATGCTCTAACCGCTGAGCCAAACCGGCCAGGGCTGGTTTTCTTTTGATATGATGAAAAATAAGATGAAATGCCTCAACTCCTTTATGTAATAAGGCAAAGAAAAGGAAGGAAGGAAGGAAGGAAGGAAGGAAGGAAGGAAGGAAGGAAGGAAGGAAGGGAGGGAGGGAGGGAGGGAGGGAGGGAGGGAGGGAGGGAGGGAGGGAGGAAGGAAGGGAGGGAGGGAGGGAGGAAAGAAGGGAGGAAGAGATGGAGGGAGGGAGGGAAGAAGGAAATAAGAATTTGAGAATGTTATCTGGGACAAAACTCAAATTTTTATGACCTCTGCCTTTTTTCAATAATAGATGCAATATAGATGATGTTCCCACTCAGGTACATTGACTGTCATTAATTGTATAGATTATATATCCAAGTAACAGCATCATTAAGAAAGCAACTGGCTATCAAGGAATTGACTGAAATTGGTTTAGGAGAGAAAAAGTTTCCATCTATCTGAGGGTGAAGTTGTTGCCTCTACACCACCAGAAACTGGAAACACTCCTTCAAAAAACCACAAAAATTGTGAGTGGGTATTCTTAGCCTATAATAAGTAGTAAACTGTACTCAGAAGTAACTATATTATAAACTTACACACATACACTCAAGTGATGAATTGGGGACCAAGCTATTGCAATAAGAAGATGGAGAGGACAGCTGTATATTCTGATGACATTGCCCTGCAGTGTAAGGGGTTTTATAGGTACAACAAAACCTTCCTAAGTCAGACTACATGAGAGTTCAGGGGAAAAAGTATACCTTATAAAGCTCAAAGGGAACTGTTTATTCAATAAATATTTATTGAGTGTTTGCCATACGTAAAAGAAATCTCCTGAAAACAATGTATACTACTCCATTAACAGATCCTTTTTTTCCCCAAGCCAAAGTGTCCCATTCTATCACAAATTCCAAAGTGGGAGGAAGAGTTTCAGATTAATGAGATTTACTGACTCAGTGAGGCACATTTTCTTGCCCCATAGAGCAGATGGGGAAACTGAGGTTCATTAAGGAGAAGCCACTTGCCCAAGTGCATACGGAGAGTACAGAGTAAAGACCTGTCTATTTTCTTCATAGATTCGAAACTCCATAAGGAAGATACTAGAACTGATACTGCATTTCCAAGTTCCTAGCACCGTGTCTAGGACAGATAACAAATATCTGTTGAGTGAACAAAAATTTCTATTATTTTAGGATATTGTACTTAGTAGACATTAGGGAACATAAATGAATGATTTAAAATGTTTTCAGCATAAAGGTGTTACATAACCAGTACTTCAATTCACCAGAGTGAATTTCCACTCTCTGAAATGAACATGATTCTCTCACTTACCACAGGGGGGCAGTGTGAAAACCGAAGCTTTGGGACTCTCCCTATACACTTCACTTAATTTTGTTTGTGGACTATTTGGGTCTTTCTGTACAACTGATGCCTGTGGGACATTTTTTCTGGGCAGGACCTCTACTAGAGAAACAGAGAAAGAGAGAGAGAGAGAGAGAGAGAGAGAGAGAGAGAGAGAGAGAGAGAGAGAGAGAGAGAACTAAAACTTAGGACTCTTACTAAGTTCTGACTGTGTGGTGTGCTCACAAATCCTTTAGACTAGACTTCCGAAAGGCTGCGTTCTAGTCCCGGTCCCACCACCTAATGCCTACATTACCTGGAACAGAAAGTGAATCAAGTTCTCTAGATTCTAGGTTTGCCTTCCTATTGACCTCACAAGACTGTGTGTGTGTGTGTGTGTGTGTGTGTGTGTGTGCGCATAAATTCCAACTAAGAAAACTTGATACATTTTGATAAATAATTTTGCAGGGATAAGGTTTTAGTAGAACCTGACTCTATAGTCACACTGCTTGGATTTGAATCTTAGATCCACATCCTAAGTTCTCTGTGCCTTGGTTTACTCCTTTGTGAGATGGGAATGATAAGAATACCTACCACAGATGGTGATTAGGAGAGTTTATTGAGCTTTTTTATAGAAAGTGTATAGACGGTGTCTAATTAATGTTGGTAGTTATTTTTTTTTATTATAGCAATGAAGCCAGATGGAGAATATCAGAACTTCTAGAAAGTGAAAAATTGAAATACATTTCATCTTTTCCCATTTCTAATTTACTTCTCTCTTCTTTTCCCATTTTCTCTCTACCTCCCAATTTCAATGATACATTCAGCAGAAAAGCAGAGCATTATACAATCTACCATAATACCTGCTGTTATAAGTAAAACTTGGTGCCTCAGCTGTTCAGCAGGATCAAAATAGCCCTACAAGCCTTCTGCAGTGCTCCACGACCTGACTGCATTCGGATTTGGTTGCATGTAGGTAAACCGCCCTCTTCGAACACTCAGTGTGCAGCCTTAGTGCAGCTCTTACGGACTCCACGACTACATGGGTGTCCTGCCAGCCCACAGGACAGTGCTTAGCTTCTCTTGAGGCATTTCTAATTCTTTAGAGATGACAAAAAAAACTAAACACACTAAAGAGCCAACCTATCAAACATGACAATTGGTGGAAGAACGAAAGGTGAGGAGATGAAAGCGAGTCCAGCTTGTTTACTTACCCCAAGAATCTGGCTGAATAAAAAGGCATAGAGGGGTGTGACTGCCCCATTGACTGCTGCACCCACAGACCCCACCACCATGTAGGGCCATTCTGGAGCGCTGAGTTTCAGAATCCTCCTAACTGGGGCAGGTTCAATTTCTTCTTCCGCAGGGAGGTTCTTGTCCTTGAGGGGAGAGAGGGTTTGACTAATCATCCAAATGTACACACGGATGCTTTTTCACATACTTCCCTTTTTTATACAGCAGAACCTTGGGCATTCACAGACATAAGAGTCATGGTTTGATTGGTTATGAGTGACCGCAAAGATCTAGAAGATGTGATTTGTGATCTTGTGAGGAATGGTCCTGAGACCTGCCGTCCTGGAAGGAGGGAGCCTGGAGGACCTACTCCTCTGGAAGGGAGTTCACAGTTCTCACTTCACAACTGCATATGTACGAACTCTTGGGGAGTAATACATATGTTGGATCTTTGAAAAAAATAGACCCCCAGTTTTTAAAAAATTGTGTTATAGTTTGCAGACTTGTGAAATTTTCCACGTCTTCCATAAATGTCAAAGCTCCTAAGGTAAGCCAGTGTATTTTAAATGAGGTAAAATAATTTTTAAAATTTGTGAAGTGATGTTAACAGTTATCATTTACATGTTTTCTGTAAGGTTTTCCTTAATTGGTGCCCAAAAGTAAAGTGTAATCTATTTGGATTTCTAAATTTCACATTTTCTTCACAAGAAGTGAAAATCATTTTACTATTTCCCTACTCTGATCTATTTATTTGCCATTAAAGTGTTAGAGGTAGCAAATTTTTATCTTCTTAAAGGCAAATACTATATTCAGAACCTCATTTTTACCATCTTTTTTCCTTGCTATAGATATGACTCAGTGTCTTGTCATAGGCCATTTATTCAAACACTTTAAAATTTATTGCTCACTTTATTTGAGAAAGAATTTTAGGTGGCTTATATAGACTTATAATAATTTTTTTATGTTTTCCATTAAAATATACTAAAAATATCTATAGCAAATTGAATATAAAACTATTAATTAGTGTTCTCTTTCATGAACATGTAATTACCCCAAAAGGGTCAGGAAAAGACAAGAGCAAGGAACTTCAAATGCTTTCCTTTTGCTTACAAAATTGATAACCATATTATGAATCCAATTTAAATAAAAGCCTGTGTCATGTCTACATCATTATCACTGCAAGCCAGACAGGTGGAGGGCGGCAGCTCGCTGGGGATGGATGCTACTGCCTTCATTTCCAGTTCTCTCTTCGCCTGTCCTCCACATTTGCACTTGTCATTACTACTCACTCACACAGTGAACCCTTCTGGTCAATGATTTTATTTCTGACAACTTACTAACTCTAGGAATCAATGCCAGAGAGGAAGAAAGGGGGAGAGGAGAGCTGAGTGGAACAAGGGTAGAAAGAGCGGGGTTCTTGGATGAGCCAGCAGTGGGATATATCACCCAATGCTTCAGCTCTTCGGGTCTCAGTTACCTAATCCTCAAAATGAGAGAGTTGGACTTAGTTGTTCTGAGGAGACAGTCCTCTATAGGTCTCTCGTGTTTCTGCACATCTTGTGAACAGAAGCACTGATTGCCTTTGTTCAGACTATTTTTTTAAGGATGTCTGTATAGCAAATAGCCTTCTTTGGAGGACACAGATGGCGTCTCCACCCCAAGAAAAGGGCAGGTGTGCTTACTGCTCACTGTAAGAGTCGGGCTCCTTAAGCCTGAGATTCCTCTCCTGTGGTATACCTCCCTTCGTTTACTGGTGTCATCTGGCCCTCTGCACCACAGACCAGGCTTCCCAGGTCAGGAGCTGAGACCTCCCTTGCTTTCATGATGTCCCATGAAAAAGGCCATTTGCCATAGTGATGCAAACTCTCAATGCCCTTGGAGCTTGACACAATTTAGCTTATGGAAAGTGAGGGTTGGACTAGGGAACCAGTGAGGTAAATGCTGTACTCTGGCTACCACTATTGCTGTGACAAAATCTTTTGACTCTGACTCAGGGCTGTCGTGTATCCTGCCGGCATCCATGATATTGTGTCAGTCTAACTTGATAACTTGCAATAGAGCAAAATAGCAGACCCTTTACAGTTCTCAGCATGGCTGGTGTGCAGATCTGCATGCACGCCAGACTCCTGTGGATCTATGATTAAATATATCAGCTCCTGGGGCCCGTCACCAGAAATTCTAATTTAGTAAGCCTAAGTATGAGTCTGTTTTAAAAATTACTCCTCTCTTAACTCTGGTGATAAAGCCCATTTTGTGAGATCCTCAGTGGTACTGTTTATAATCTCCAAGACCCCTCCCAGCACTAATGTCTGGGATTCCATGATTATACATTATGTGAGTATCAGCTAGAACATTAAACTCCAACATTTTCTGCAACCTCCTCCCCACAGAATGGTCCACACGTGACCTTACATGACAGAAATGTCTCTGGCCTTCTCTAACCCTAAACAACACTATGTAAAACATTTATAAGCAATATGAAGTGAATGTTCCTCGTAGCTCTCATTCCAAGATAAACTAACAAGCAGCAAATTTTAATTAATTTGAATACTTTTCTTTTGTCCACTTTCACTAAAAGTTTGATTTTAAAGAAAACTGACCCTAACCCCCCAAAAAAAGATGTGGCTATGAAGACTGAATGATGCAAAAGCTAGAAAATCTGCCCCTGAGTAATTGACTTTTGATTCACTTTAATTTGACAATGCTAAAAGCACAGTAGGAGAATAAAATAAAACAAAATATAATTAAGGTCACTATGTACAGATTGTTCTTCTCTGATTTTGTAAAGCTGACAACAAATTTACTCATCCAAAGAAAGCTAAAGATGAATTAAGATGAATAAATGAAAGATGAATAAATTCGTGGCAAAGCAGTAACTCAAAGAGATAAAATAATAAAAATGTGTTTCCTTGCTGCAGAGTTCCTGCATCTATTGTATCAATGTCAAGTTGCATGGTGCTCATTGGTTTATCATATGTAAAGAAGTAACCTGCCAACAAGGAGAAGGACAGTGGCTCTCATTCATCCTTGCATCCCTAACACAATACCTGGCACATAATAAACATGCAATTAATGTTTATTAGATGAAAGAATGAATGAAGCTTTTATGCCCATGGTGCTTACATGCAACAAAACATTTATTTTAAAAAATATATACTGTTTGCTCACCTACTATGTTGATGGTTAAATACTAGACCCAGGGCTTTTCCCAGTTTCCTTCTTTCCATCTCCTAGTATAGATTAGGCGAAAATATAACTTCCTACTTAAATTTTATGTCGTTCTGTCTACACTTTGTTACGCTGGTTTCTGCAGGACAAATCACGGGGGTCTTCTGCCTCGATGTTGACTTTAAGTTTTGATGATTAGAAATGGTAACTATGACAAAGAAGCAGAGATTCTTCAAATGAATTGATCCTAATAGTAATTTTTATGGATCCTGTCTCTGTTGTACATTTTAACCAAATTACTAAACCCTATCCTATAAGGTAGCTATGATGCAGTGATGGGTTTCTAATATTTGACACTTCAGGGGAACAGGATTTCACAACCCCGAAATATATCTTTTTGGCGTGAGGATTATTTTAGGCTATTTTAAGAAACAAAAGATTCAGGAATAGCTTTCTATTTCCCCCTTAACTGCCTAAAAGAATGTAGGTGGACGGCCTGTCCCAGGAAGGGAGCTATATCATCAGAGACAAGTACAAAGAATATGAGCTGGGTTTGGAGACAGGGGAATTCGGCAGGGCCTGCTTGTTCAAAATTCCCCCTGTGTCCCTTTGTCTCTGCACAGCCCAGCAAACATTTGCTTTTCTTATCTCCCTGCGAACTTCTTCCTGACCTTTGAAGGCCCAGACCCCTAATCACTTTTCTTCAGCTCTGGATGACAGATAAGCCTCACTTGTCTGACTGTCTTTGGGCCTCATATTCTTACAGAGCCCCTACGGGTCAATTTAATTCTTAGACAAAGCCCAAAGAGCCAAGAGGGGTAGGGAGAATTTTTTCCCCTCTCCAACAAGCTTGACTTGATTTCATATATACAGGGGTGAGCAAAGGTAGATTTACAGCTGTGAGTATGGAAAGACACAGTTCATTCTCGTAGTATTGTTATTTATTATTGCATTATTTATTATTATTAACCAACTTTTGCCCACCCCTGTATTCTACCTTGTCTTCTAGTTTCCCTGAAAGAGATGCCTAAATATCAGAGACGGAAACCTCCAGCTTGCAGGTTTCCCCTAATCCTAAACTGAATTTATCAGCATGAACATAAGATCAGAACCATTTCTGGGAGCCAAAAGTGCGGCTTGGAGAGGGAGGAGAAATGGGCTGTAGTCCAGCTCGGTTCCCAGCCAACTACAAACCTTGAGTCAGACACACCACTTAGAGTTTGGAAACACAGACTTAGGAAGCTCTCTCTTCTAAGTTTTCAGTCAAAACTCTAAGAGACTACAAGGTGGAGATAACTTCTTCATGTAATTAAACCTTTTGCACTGCAACATAAGAGAATATTTCCCAGTTAACAGAAGATAAGGTCAGAGCTTCTACATCAAAATGGGAAAAGGAGAATTTCACCAGTGCTTGGGTTTGCAGAATTTAGTTAACTATTAAAATATTTTAAAATTTACTTGGAATTAGAATAACCCAAATATTTAAGATACTTTAAAATTTACTGGGATTAGAAATTTCATAAATTAACATGTATTAACCCTAATTTCACTGTTTTTTTCTTTAAACAACTTAACTTTTTGAATCTGAAAGACTCTTGCCTGGTTGGTGTGGCTCAGTGGTTGAGCACTGACCCGTGCGCCAGGAGGTTGCGGCTTTAATTCCCAGTCAGGGCACATGCCCAGGCAGTGGGGGGCATGCAGGAGGCAGCAGATGGATGTTTCTCTCTCAATATATATTTTTCTCTCTTTCTCTCAAAATAAAAATAAAAATACATTAAAAATACATAAATACATCTAAAAGACTCATATAATTATCATACAAGCAAGCAGTAGTAATAGAAGCATTAAGATCTTTTCCCTTTGGAGCTTCAGCAAAATCACATGGTTTCCCTGGCATTTTCTTCCTCCTTCTTTTCTCTCCCTGAACGAGAGAGAAAATCTAAAGGGGCTCTTTTGAAAATTATACTGGTTAACATTGAATCAAGTTTAATCGTTCCATTCTCGTTGACAATGCTAATGACTACACTAGTATATGGAGCATTTTTTATATCTCTAAAACTAATCTCTATACTTGATTTGTTTCCTTTTGTTTCAGTGACTCCCTCCTGAGTTTTCCCTGCATCATCAGAACTCCATGGGAATCTGTCTCCCAGGCATCTGATTGTTTTCTGCAGCTACGCTGAGCCATCTACCAGCTTCAACAATAACAACAGCAAAATCAGATTTTCTTTTTCTGCTTCCTAACTCATCTGCTTTTATTGTTTATGCTTACCCAGAAACTAGAAAGAAAACATAAAAATGCAAAAATTAAATATGATTGGTGCTGCTATGTTTGAAATTTCAATGTCATGTTTGGTTCTTTTCTCCCTGAAGGCTCTATTAAAAGCCTTACCTAATGTTTCTTGTAGTTATTAGTGGAAGCACCATGCATGTAAAGAAAATACCCGTTTCTTGAACTAGAAGAGGATTTGTGTCCTTATGGTAAAGCACAGCAAGAAGTATGCCAGCTAAATGTTCTCTCTCACTGGGATTCATCTTGCTACTCCAAAAAAAAAAAAAGTTCATCTATGAAATGTACTTAAAACAACTCCATTAGATAGTGGAACCTCTATCTATTCATTATTAATACATTGAAACCAAAAGAGAACCTGAAGAATCCTTTGGTCATAAGACCATAAATAGTACTGTACTTTCTTTCAAATTTGTCAGTGTGAACCAATGCTTACAATTACTTTCAAAATGAATTCTCATGTTGAACTTTTTAAAGACAATTTGAAATTTTATCATACATAATAAATGTGCTTGTACTTAAAACAGTCTCTGACTTATATGCTTTGATACATTTTATAATTTAGGCTTTAATTTTTTTGTAGAAATTCCATTTTTTTCCTACTAGTTTTGAAATCTTCTGCTGTCCTACTAGGTGCAGGGCACTGGGTAAGGTGCCCAAGTTGATACAAACAAAATGCTATCTAGTCACTAACTTTAAGAAGCTTATAGTTTAGTAAGGGGATAAGACAACACAACCTCAAATAAAATTCAATAAGAAAAGTGCCATGAAATGAGTCAAGTGAAGAATGAGGGATCACAAGTGAGCGTGTCAGGGCTGAAGAATCAAGTGCAATGCTTAAGAAAGGCTTTGAGGAGGAGGGCGGTCACTCTGTGCAGGTTAGCGCCCCGCAGCTCCGGATACATGCCTCCTGAGGAAGGAAGTTGTATATTGCTGTGTGGGTTGGCTCCTCTCCTGTCTCTGTCATCTTTGTGTTGTTTTGAATTATGTTAAAATTAACAGTATTGATTAGTTACCACAGATGGTAACTAGGCTTATCATGGGGATCATATTGTAAGGTATGTTGTACATAATTATATGTCAATTAAAACAATTTGTGATAACTTGTATAAGGCTAACCTTATCAAATACCTTTGTTGATCAAACAGTTTTGCCTAGATTATTACAATTTAAGAAAGAGATTAAAAATCGGGGGAAAAAAGTTTTCAGATATTCTTAAAAACTTAAAAAGGATACCTACATAACCCTGGCTGGTTTGGCTCAGCGATTAGAGCGTCGGCCCACAGACCAAAGAGTCTTGGGTTCGATTCTGGTCAAGGGAGCGTACCTTGGATGCGGTTCGTCCCCAGCCCTGGTTGGAGTCATGTGGGGGGCTACTGGTCAATGTGTCTCTCTCACATCGATGTTTCTCTCCCCCCGCCCAACACCCACACTCTATCTGAAGATATTTGAAAAAAAAATCCTCAGGTGAGGATTAAAAAAAAAAATCATTATCATACAGAGCATGCTCCCCAACCATAATCCAATAAAATTAAAAATAAATAAATAAGTAAAAGGATATCTACATAATGAGTAATTTACTAAGTACATGTAATTTGTCTGTGTTTATTAGAATGGTACATTTAAGAACTATTAATTAACCCTTAATAGTCCGGTTTTAGTTACCACATATTCTTAAAAGTAATTAATTAATCTTTCTTTAAAAACATTGTGTAAAATTTAGAATTTCCATCAGGCCCTGGTGTGTTCTCCCATTTAGTCCTACAGTGAAATATTACTAGATACAGGCCTTGAAAACTCATATTCTAGATTTAAAGGGCATACAATAGTCCCAGGAGAGACTTTTTCCATTTCCCCACGAGTGGCTGGGGCCTGACCTTTCTGTCTTCTTCATAAGTAGACTTATGATCTATAACAGCTGATGGAGGTTCATGTACCAGGTAAGAAAGCTGAGACTTGGAGCGTTGCCGGATGGAAGCTCTGTAAATAAAAAGACGAAAGAGGCTGTAGATTGTGGGCAGGTTGGAACAGGATTCAACATGTATCCAAATTTACAACACATGTCAAATAAACAGAAATGTTTGCCAGGTCACATGGTAAGCAGATAAGGGAGCTTTCTGTTTAGACTTAACAGAGCTATTCTTAGGGCAGAATTAAGCAGTGCTCTGGGCCCCAAATTAGACCTTGACCCAGGAGGGAGAAAGAGAAAGGGTGTAACGTTGTCCTGCTAGTTTACCAGAAAAGGTGTAAAACTCAAATCCATTCTGAACCCACATGGTTCTGTTAATTGCTATAATGACAATGGGTCATTGCCTTTATTTCCCTTCTGGTTGTAAGTTGTAGTTTTGATTCTCTTTCTCTCTCCCCACCCCTCCCCATCAACCTCCATCTGATGTTTACTTTAAAGTAATACCACCTGGATACAAATGAGCTAGTAGAAGGAAAAAGAACCTCTAGTGAGATTTTCTCCAGGCTATTATCACCCCTAGGGATGCATTTAATTAACAAATATCTTATTGAAATGTAATTTAGCTTGATGTGTTCATTCATTCATTCAACAGCTTTATTGGGCACCTGCATCATGCCGACCAACGCCCGGTGCTGAGGGGGGTACAAAGACCGGTCAATCACAGACTTCCCTCTCAAGGAGCTTCAGTCTATAGAAGAGCAACACATGTACACCCAGTCCTAATGGAGAAAGGATGTGCTAAGTGCTGTAAGGCAGGTTTGAATAAAGAGTATGGAAATATAAAGGAAAAAGAAATGTATGGCAGGTGTTACCATGAAAGGCTTCTTGGAAGAGGTGGCAAGTTCGAGTTTTGGAGGCTAGACGAAAAAGCATTTCTGATTGAGAGAACAGAGAAACAGAAGCAGGAAGAGGGGAGAGAACAGGAACACACATTATGCATACCTAGTACAGGACAGATGTAGAAAGTGATTGGTTCAGGCTGTTTTTCTGGGAGGGAGACTCCTGCTCTCCTCTAGGTTAAGAATGAAAATATGTAGCATTGGGAGCTGCTGTCAATGATGTTAAAACTCTTAAGGAAAGAAGTTTCTTGAAAAATAAAGCCAATAGTTGGGGGGGGGTGTGGAGTAGAGCTGAGAAGAGGAGAGAGACTTGGACAAGTCACTGAAGCCAAAGCATCCCTCTTGGAATATTTAGTTAAGTCAAGGAATTCTCTCCCTTTAAAGGTTAAACCAAGTTGGGTTAGGTTTTCATTCATTTGCAAATAGAGTTTTCAGTGACAAAGGCATGCTGAAAACTTGGGAGAAGGAAAGTTTCTTATCAAGCACTTAATTGGAAGTAATATGGTCTAAAGAGAGAGATGAAGAGACCTTAGCAACTGCTTAGTACAATCTAGATAGAACCATGCACAAGTCTCTATCATTTGTGTCCAGGTGAAACTAGACTAAAACTAGTATCAAGGTGGTGCCTGCCTATTGTATATGCTCATTTAGCCTTCTTGAAAAGGCAGTAACACATCAACTTAATTACTCTAATTTGCTACCATGTTCTGTTAATGGTACTGCCATGCTCTTAGTCACCCAGGTCCAACAAGGTGCATTTATCTCAATTCCTCCCTCTTTCTTGTTCCTGCATATTCAAACTCTTGCCAAACCTCATTATAAATAGGCATGAAGCCACTCCTCACCCCTGCTGCCTGCTACCAAACTGGCTTCTTCTGGGACACCTCATTTCCCTCCCAATCTGACCTAATCTCTACAGCAATGGAGTCATTTTGGGGGGGAGCAGGTAACTAAGGTGGAGCTGTCCTCTCCAGAGGTGTAAGGAATAGGCACGTGTCACCTGGAGAGAGCAGAGTACACGATAGGGCTGAGATTTAAGTTCATGGGGCTAAAATAAAACTCAAAGCATTAGAAGCCATACTAGGGGTATGTGGAGAGAAGGCATCAAAATATAGCTGACTAACTTCCAGTTCTGAGCATGACAGAACTATATTCTTGTCCCCTTGGATTTCTACTCCTTTAATCTTACATTTCTTTTTTTTAAATATGTTTTTATTGATTTTCTAGAGAGAGAGAGGAAGGGAGAGAGAGGGAAACATCAATGTGAGGGAGAAACATCCATCCACTGCCTCCTGCACGCCCCCTACTGGGGATCAAGCCCGAAACCCAGGCATGTGCTCTGACCAGAAATCGAACTGGGACCTCCCAATCTTGGATGGTGCTCAATCCACTGAGCCACACCAGATGGGCTTATCTTACATTTCTTAAGTCTCTCTCTCCTCCCTAGCCCCCCAAACCATTCCACGTGTCTAGCATAAGCTGTCCCAATGAGATAGCCAGGCAGGCGTCCTACCTGCCAGCCAGTCCCTGCTCTGATCTACCATAAACACCAGGGTTATAATTCATCTCACCCCGTTCAGAAAGCTGGGACATCTGCCGCTGCCTTTCTCAGAAGCTGCCTTCCCCCTTCTGCAAATAAAAACAGCTAATTCGGGGAATAAATGCTTGCTTTCTCTCAACAGCACTATTTAGGAAATTAATTACTACCATCCATTAAATTGTTCTTGAACCTAAAATATATGACTAAAGAGAGACTTAGCCTTCAGAAAGACTGTAGGCAAGGGAATAAGACACAAATTCACATTCTACTTAGTCATCTTTTAAAAAAAATCTGTCAGCATACACAAGGAGATATTTTTAACCATCCTTTTCACTCAGACTTATAAATCTTTCTCTGCAGGAGGTTATTAGCTTCTTTCTGTGTGTAGATTGGATTTCCGGATTTCTCATCTTACCAAAATGTAGAATCTGTGAGAACAAATGGTCAAGTAGGAAATGCTTGTATTAAAATAGCTATCTGATCCTAATAATAGACTGTAAGTAAACTACTTATAATAGGTGGAATTTGGTTCATCTGGAAAGTTAAGAAAATATTTATTTTCTTGTCAACATAACCATGAGATACATCTCTTTGCAACCGTAAGCCTAATAATCAAAAGAGATGCCTAGTTTTTTTTTGTTTTTTTTTTTTAAGAAGTTAGTTGATCTTCAGGTTTTGATTCTAATGATCCTTAGAATTTAATTTTTTCTTCCAATCAGAAAAGCATGATGAAACATAATGCCAGGTGTCTAAAAAAACTGCTTAATAATTTTGGCAACTTCATAGAATAACTTGAAGCTATAATTTTATTCTTTTCCAAATTCAATAAATTCAATAAAACTAATATTTCATGAAATTTGTCTGAATAGTCTTGTTCTCAAAAGGAAAAATAAAACACTGTAAGTATAAACTTAGTGAACTATCCTTTGAATATTAAAAATAAATAAATTAGTGTTGGAACTACTTGAAGTTGTTACCTGAATGTTTTGTTTTAAGCTCTTTAACCATTTTTCAATAGATGATTAGCTAACTATCTTGAATGAGCAACTCCTGTAACTGAGCCTTTGCTCAGAGAGCTGCCCTGAATTAAATGATCTGGAAATGGTAAGAAAATGGTAGAGAAAGATGCTGTCACCTCATTGCCTACTATAGTATCTTAACTTAAGAAAAAAGTCTTTAATAACATTTTTATAAATATAGACAATATTCCGGAGCAGAATTCTTCTTAATTAACAGTCTTTTAGTATCAAAAGAGCTATTTTATTAAAACTCTTAAACCAAGATGAAAGACTAAAATATGCAGCCTTGTTAATAGCATGCTACCAAAAAAAAAAAAAAAAATGTTTTGAGAATGACTACCCATATAGTTATCCACAGAAAAATAAATAGCTAAAATTAAAGAAAAAGAAGTAGTTGTTTAGGAAAGTCCTCTTTAAACATTAAAAGATACATTTCTTATTCCATCTAAGTAACGCATAATTTGACTTTGGATGGGTTGCTCTAGAAGAAGAAATATTTGAATTCAATTGCAACTCAGTACATTAAAGAGTATAGCTGAAGAAATAAATTTGACCTTCATGTAAGATGGCCATTCATACTACAGTTAGCTTTGGGGGGAACAACTAAATACAGATTTTTCTCTTAAAAAAAAAAAATCCCCTTTCTAAGTTTATTAAACAACATTTTCCCTATAGAGCATTTCTATCATGGCCCTACCCCCAATAAGATGAGAAGCTAAAGTTAAACAAAACTACCCATAAATTAGAAACAGGAATATCAATATAGCAACCAAGGATTCATTTGTATGTTCCTACTACACAAGACCTAGGGCTGTCCTGGTAGTACCTGAAATACTGCCTATGGATCATAGCTGCAGAAGACTCCTAAAAACTTCAGAAAACCTTAGTATCTGCCCCATGGCTTGAACTTACCTTAAACTAGCCTGGTAGCTCCCTCTGCTAAAGGTCTGCTTGTTCTCCAGTAAAGCACCTTCGGTGTCATCTTTTCCTATTTTAACACAGCATGAGTTTTCTTAGTGTATGCAATGAGCAGAACCATATCAAAATAAAATCATTTACTATGTTTGCGTAGCACATCATTACTACATCTGATGCTAAAACACTCTATTGACTTTATTGCACTAAGTAAAACAGTACTTATCCAGCATATTCTAAGAAAAAGTTTTCAAAACACTCATCAAGATCGAATCTTTCAAACCATATATGTATTACAGCCCATGTGTTATCACCATAGAAATAAATACCTTATAGCATGAATCATAAAAACTTAAGGGAAGCCCACTAGAAGTAGAAAAAAAATAATAGACTCACCTAATTGTTTTATAAAAAATGTTTCAGAATAAATCACATATGTTAAATGTATATAGTTATACAGTTATATGCAGTTACAGACTATACAGCTATACCCAGTGGAGTTCAAAAATTCATAAGTGGTATGGTAGAAAAAGTATAGAGCAGTTGATAATGTAGATCGGGATAAACCATAAAATCTGAAAATTCAGATTGAAAAAGAGAAGGTACCCTAGGGCCAGAGATATCTATTTACTTTAGTAAAAATAAGCACAAAACATTTTAGTCATTGATTCATTCACTCAACGGACAAGAACAGAGCTCCTACTGTGTGAGGACACTATAGGAAGCCTCTTATTTGCAAAATGTGGGGGGATGGGGAAGAAAGGGAAATGGAGTTGAATACTCTTCCACAGAAGACCTGGGCTGTATGACTTGATCAAGTAATTGAATCTCCTGAGCTCCTGTTCTTTCCTTTATTATTTATATAATGCCTCCAAGGGCTTTTGAGAGAACAAATAAGACAGTGTATATTAAAATGCATAGGAACACATAAAGCATTATATATGATAAGTATTTAATATAATGTGTAAGCATAATGAAAAAGGCACTTGCCCTTTATGTCCTCCTCATTGAGGGCTTGATCTCCTTGACTTTGCAAAGTCACTAGAGTGAAGTAAACTCCTTTCCTATCCAACAATTCTTCATGTGTGCCTCTTTCCACTGCTGTACCATGTTCAAAGCCAATAATGACATCTGCAGTTCTAACCGTGGACAGGCGATGAGCAACTGAAATGATTGTATGGCCATGCTGAATCTGTAACAATGCACAGTGCACCATTAAATGAGACTGTAAGACAGAGCTGACATTGACCTTTGGATCATCTCAGAATTGACTAATAAGTCAGAGCCTTGGTCCCTGAAATACTTTTTTTATCCTCACCCGAGGACATTTTTGCATTTATCTTCAGATAGAGCAGGAGAGAGAGAGGGAGGAAAAGAGAGAGAGAAACATGGATGTGAGAGAGACACATCAACTGGCTGCCACCCACACGACCCCAACCGGGGCTGGGGACAAACTGCAACCAAGATATGTGCCCTTAGTGGAAACTGAACCCTGGTCTCTCTGGTCTGCAAGACAATGCTCTAACTGCTGAGCCAAACTGGCCAGGGCCCTGGAAAAATCCTTAAATAGGCTGTACAGACATTAAAAATGGCCAGTACACTGTCTCACATTGTTGGTCCAGTTGCTGCTATTCATCTACAGCTAAACACACAAAAAAGAGAAATTTAAAACTCACAGATTTTAAGTTAGACTAAAGATTTTAAATTTTATATGTGCAGCTTTTGAAAGTAAATCATAACTGACTTCTGTTCAACTGTAAGGAATATTGTAGTCAGCCAATATTTTCTACACAGTCAGACTGGATACACTGACTCATGTGGCATCTCTCTCCTCTCCCTTTCTTTCTCTCCTCTCAACGGGCAGCCTTTCCTACAGCCACACAAACATTTCCACATGTAAAATGAACTCAGACTTTCAACAAACCTTATTCAGTGCCTCTTGCACCATGGCTTCACTCTCATTGTCCAGTGCTGAGGTGGCCATGTCCAAAAGCAGGATCTTGGGATTTCGGACAAGGGCTCTAGCGATGGCTACTCTTTGTTTCTGGCCGCCACTCATCTGGCCTCCTCCTTCTCCAACGAGAGTGTCAAATTGCTAAGAAGAAAATGACACAAGAACTGAAGGGGAAGAATTTGATGACTCCTGACAGTGATCCATCATGAGGTCCTTTCTAGCTTTCTCCTCAAGCATGACTTTTCATAGGTCCAACTTCCCTGAAATACCCTTTCTTGAAACAGGTCTCATCAGTATTTATGTTTAAGATAAACACATTGTTTAGTTCTTTTATTCCCAGGTCCACTGGCTGTATAAGTGTTTCTGTTTAGCTCAACTTCAGATAAAATGTTTTCGCCAAACTAAAAGTTGATCAGGGTCTTGAAAATCCATTTTAGAGGGTTAGAGCACATATCAAATCTTGTATTTTTTTCTCTAGCTAGACAACACAGAAAAACACAATGCTAAGACTATTTTCCTATGTTGGATGAAAGACCAAACTACCTTTGTCGTCATTACCATCAACAGCAAATAGTTGCTGAGTATCTTGCATGTCTAGCATTATACTGGAACCTCCCAACAAAGCGTTCATGTCAGACTCTTGCCTAGCACATTATTAGCCGATGTGAGCTGAGCACCTACCATGTATAAAGAAAGCACAGAGCTGAGCTTTATACATAATGTCTCATTCAGTTCTTACAGATGTCCATGAGCTAGGTACTACTAATTCTCTTCAATTGATGGATAAGAAAATGCTAGGGTATAAAGGGGGTAAAGTAACTTCTCCAAGTTTATAAAGCTTTCAAGTAGAGAAGCTGGGACTTGTATGGAGATAGACTGATGCTAAAGCTTTAACCACTAGACTATGTTATACTTTTGGGTGTAATCCTATTCATACAATCAATTTAGAATGTAGAATAGAAATTATTCTAGAGCACAGACTCTGCAGCCAGACTACCTGGAGGTGAACCTTGTCTCTCCTGCTTTTAACAAGTTATTTGACCTCTCAGAACCTTAGTTCTCCATCTGTAGTTAGGGAGAATAATAGTAACTGCCTAAAAGGATGGTTGTGAAGGCTAAATAAATTAACAGATGTAAAATGCTTAGAACAATGCCTGGTTTGTAGTAAGCACTATATAATTCTTCTTTGACTCAGCTACCCATTAGTCACAAAATCCATATAATCACATGGAATTGGTTTTGCTGTCATTGCTGCTTATAATGAAGATAAATGAGGAATGTTTGAATATGTTGGGTACAGTGCTGAGGACACATATTAGCTGCCTAAGCACAACAAAATTAAATAACAATGGGAAACATCGAAAGAGCATTGTGCAAGTTATTGCCACATAACAAATTTATCATCTGCTTAAACAAATGCTTAATACATAGAATAAGAAAATTGCATCTTTGTCAAAAGGAGCTTTTTAAAGAAAGTTCCCCAGCTAGTTGGACTTTTAATAGATTAACAACATGGTTTCAAACAAAAGGGAACACTCACGGTACATTTCCAGGCATGAAACTAAAATACAACATTAGGAGTTTAATGATATAGGATTCACATAAAAAGAAATGCATATCATAGAACTTTTTTTCCTTCTACAACTCATGGGATTTCTTCTGGAATGAGAGGCTAGGGGTACCTGTGGCAGCTCCATGATGAAGTTGTAGGCATTGGCCTCCTTGGCAGCTCGGACTATATCTTCCATGGTTGCCTCTTCTCTGCCATAACGAATATTCTCTGCAATGGTGGTGGAGAACAGAACAGGCTCTTGCTCCACAATTCCAATCTGAGCTCTAAGCCACTGAATGTTAAGAGAGCGAATGTCATGGCCATCCAGAGTCACCTAGAGAACATGAGCACGACATCACATCTCTTGGAATCCTTCAGGGTTCTGAATCATAATACCACGTTGTACTAAACCCACGGGGAGAAAATATAGAGACCAACAAGGTTATAACAGAAACAATTCCTCGTATAATATGGTTGCTTATATAAGAATGACAAAAGGTACCTGAAATCAAATAAAGCTGTAGGACAATTCATTGGAGAAGCACAAATGATGTAAAGGTCACCTTATTTAACATGATTGGCAAGAGGTTTTAATTCCTCAATAAAGAGTAGAAACAGTTATTCACTGTACTTTGAATATTTTTACTATGTTTTGACTTGTGACCCAAAAATGGACTTCAAAAGATGTAATGAAAATAAGCAGATTCCTATCTTATATATATGTTTTACTGTAAATCTTAGTTTCTGGCCATATTCACCAAAATAGAACTATTGCTGCTCAACAGTAATGGACACTGTGAGTGGGATGAGAAAATTAAAATTACTATTAGCAAAAATATAAAAATCTTACATCAAGAAACCATGATTTTTATATTTAGAGGATAGTTATGCTGGTATGTGGCAAAGAATGCCCAATCAGAGAATGAAATGTCTGTGACAAAGGAAAATTCTAGGTTGTGTGCCATGTTAGTGTGACAGTATATGCACTATAGAGAACTCATTGCATTGAAGCATTTGATATGTCCTCAAATGATTCTGTCTCAAAGCATCAAAGAGACATTGATGGGAATGATTTAGAAAGTAAAAGACCTTTGGTATCCAGCAAATCTGGGTTCAAAATCAGGGGCAAGTTTCAGCCTCTCTGACTTTTCCTTCTCATTCGTAACATGACATTTACCTTTGGCAATCATGGTGAAAATAAGTAATCATTTTTATAAAATACTTTAATTATAATATGTGATAAATGAGTGGAAAGTATTAATATTTTTATCTTAGTTTCAGTCTGTGTTTATCATCAAATGAACAAGAGAAAAAAGACTACATAGTTTGTGAAATTATATAATTTTTTTGAAACCTAACTTCTCCAAGCAGAATCAAGAGCTGTTCTCTGTTCATTCCAGCCATGTAAGCTTTCCAATACTTAGCATTTGAAGAACTTTGGGAGAAAAGTAATAATTTTGTTATAATACAAAGAAATAAATGAAAAGCTTAGTTCAATGAAGAGGCAGCAATGCCACTTAGAATGTATCTGCATAGTCAATTCCATCCCTCAGCAAATGGACTGGTTATTCAGTGAACTCGCTCATGCAGGGAATCAGTGCAGCCAATGCGATCAAAATCATTAAGTCAACTACGTGTGCGTCAGAACGGTCTCTGTGTATGCTAGGTCTTTGTCTTTGATTAAGTTATCACCCTTCGCACTCTCCCATCCTCTGTATTGTTTCTGGAAGACACATACCATGCCTTCACTGGGGTCGTAGAATCGCTGAATGAGCTGCAGGGCTGTGCTCTTCCCAGCTCCACTGGATCCCACCACAACCGTCATTTCTCCTGGTTTGATGACCATGCTGAGGTTATTTAAAATCTGCAGCGAAAAGAACAATGTTCATATTGTCAGCAATTAGGCTACAAGTTAGGATGCTTTGTGAGGACATTGCTTTTGTTTACTTATGCCGTGTAAGCAATATCCATCGATATCCATGTACAAGTAGTAATTTAGTAAACAGTGCCTAGGAGGAGGTTTTAGCATTTAGCACATTATTCGTTACTTAGCTGATAGCTGTAGTCAAAAAATAGAGTGGTGTGTGGTAACACTTGAAGTTAAAGTAAATCAACCATGCTCACTCTTAAATGTTCCAGAATTTAATTTAAAACATCTCTGACATACTAGGATACCTGAAGAAGACTGTCCCAATTAGTTAAGGAGAAAGAAAGCCATGAAGGTAGAAAAATATACTAATTTATTGATCACATATTAACAATAAGCCAGTTTGCAAAGTTTAAGCTGTCATACACTTCTATTGTACGTGAACACATTGCTTGAATGAATAACTATCTAACAAGTGTTTGCTAGGTACAAAGTTCTAGTCAAGGTTGAGACTGAATGCTGGTAAGTCTAGAAAGGGAAGCAAAAAATGTATTCATCACCATGTGTTGGATATTTTCACCAATTTAGTGGTAATTTTTGTACTTACTATGTAGAAGTGGTTTGGGTCCTCTGTGTGACAAAATCTCATGTGTCTTTCATTTCACACGAGAGGGTCAGGCTTACAAATTTGTACTGACTGGACTGGACTCTTCCCCCAGGGCAGGCAGGCCATGGATATGCTTCTTTTTCTTTTTTTAATCACTATAGTCCCAGTACATTTTGGCACCCAGCAAGGCTAAATATATACTTGTAGTATGAATGAAGAATATTTACAGGTCTAAGCAAAAATAGTTTATTAAAACAAACTCTTGGTATTGGGAATAGAAGACAAAACAGAAATGAAATAACTGTGTTTCAATTCAGTTGGCATTTGTTGCACAGCTATTATGACCTGATTCTGAACAAATATTATAAAGGAAGTTTTTAGCCATCCATTCAAAAATATTTACTGAGTGAACACTACTTTGTGATTTCTTTTCTATAAGTACTTTTACATATGTCATGACAGTTAATATTTATATACATATGTAATATGTAACATTAATAAAAATATACTTCATAAATGTAATCATAATATATATATACTTATGCTTTACATATACCTATGATGGATGTGTGTGTGTGTGTGTGTATTTACCTACATTATAAGTATGTGGTATCAAAGTTAAGTTGCATGGAATTTAGTTCGGTGGGGATAACAGAAATATTATCAAGAAAGGGTGCTAGAGATACTCTATTAAAAATAAGAAATAAGTCTCATTTCAAAGCCAATTTGTTCAAGGGGAACAAATCCTAATTTTCCTGTAGAGTGAATTTCTTCTAAAGATACTTGCTCAGTAGGTACAGGAAAACTAAATTTTCTTCACCATAGGTGACATATGAGCATATCACAAGATTCCCTTTGCACCAGGGACTGATCTAGTGGCCCTGGTGAAATTACAGGTAGGAAGTGAAAAGCTGTAGACAACAGTTTCCTTTGCTACTTCGTTCCCTACCCACTCCGGGTATCCACCTCCTGCAGTTTCCAAGCAGGTAGTTTGACACAGCTGTACTTCTTAATTGTTCTAATTACAGTGACAAGACCTGACACACTCATTTCAACAGGGTATCATAAAGGTGACCTAACTGGAACGTGCTGCCCGTCTGTGTTCCTACCAGAGGGACTTGCACATTGTCATTATCACAAAGCAATGAGGCTTGGTGTCTGAGAAATGACACAACACCCAAGGACACATCCAGAGAAATGTGTTTCTGTTCCATGTTCCTGGAAACTGAATCATGCTTCAGAAAAACAAGCACTTAGTAGCTCTGGAAATAAATCATGGAAGAAGAAAATGCTGCCGTTGTTCCTGGGGCAAGATTGGCACTTACCTTCACCTCTGGTCTGGAAGGATAGTGGAAGGTCACATTATGGAATTCAATTTCACCTTTGATTCGATCCAACTTGTAACCATCTTCTGACATGCAGTCAATAACAGGTTTCTGGAGTAGAATATAAAAGGGATAAAGCAACATGTATTAGACGCATTTACTGTCCATCTCAGTTTGAATTTGCTCATAAGAGAAAATGACAACCAGGTAAAACATTGCAGAGATATGCTAAAGATCAGTTGCTTCCACATTAAATGATAGTAACAATAATCATTAGCATTAAGATATTATATTACTATATATTAATAGTATTATGTTACATATAATATATTAATACATATATGTTGTGTACCATATTATATAGTAACATATATGTTATCTGTATTATATTATATATTAAGGTATAATGTATAATATAAATAACTAATATATAATTAATTTTAATTAATATAAAATATGATGATGCTAATTAATAAAATACTATATTTCATTAATTAATATAATTTAATTATTAGTTATTGATATATTACTATGACATTGTTTAACAAAATACTGTATATAGTACTGATCTACATATGAAGATTATTATGTATAATTATATTATTAAGATACCATGAAAGACAATGAACCAGGTGTTTTAGTGTGCTTTTCTCATTTATATAATTGTCACTATAACCAAACAATATATGATATGCCCATTTTTTTCACTTGAGAAACTTGAAGGATCTCAGAAAGGTTAAGTATCTTGCCTAAGGCCACACAACTAGTCAACCAAGCTGGGGGTCTAACATTTGAGTATCTATTATATGATTATTAAAACTAACTGAATGTCCTCAGGTTGTGCCTTCAAACACTACCAACTTTCAATCAATTGCTGATTTTCACCTCTGTTGTTAGTAGTGAGCCTAATCTTGGACTTAACCATTCCAGTTAATCAGACAAGAATGAGGGTCATCTCCTGCTGCCCGAACACCCCAGGTCAACTTCTTCCCTCTCCCACCCTAGTGAGGAAAACTCATTATCATATCTCTATTTGGAGCTATAGGGTGACCTACTTTCTTCTTGGGTCTCTAGTAAAGGTAATAATGAATCATTTAATACCTTATTTAATGCCTTAACTCTTTAAAAAATAGTTTCAGGGGCCCTTAGACTCATCATCTTACTTGAGCATATAACAACCCCAGAATGAAATAGGATTTGGATCGCTCAACAAGCCTATGTGATTTTCAACAATCTCTTTATATCCCATTACATAAAACCCCAAAATACAAAACAGATAAAGTGATGAGGAATTTTCTTAGGCAGGTTATATGCCTCATACATTGTTATGATTTAGGGAACCCACAAAGCACCCTGGATGTACAGGCTCAGACTCTTAGCCCAGGGCATCTTTTCAGCGGTAAAGAACATATTGCCACCTACCCCTTCTGTTCTTGGATTTTGACTTCTAGCTTGACCTCCAATGATTCAATAGATTAACCAGAAAAATCCTAACCATACTACCAGTGTCCTTTTCAAGCTTATATGGACTTAGAGAATCCAATCATATGAACTTGGCCTTAAAGTCCTACATGATCTGGCCCTTCTCATCCCTCCAGCCTCTGTCCCTTGCTCACTGTTTCATCACACTGACCTTGTTTTAGTTTCTTGCATTCACCAAGCTCTTTTCCAAATGGGAGGCCTTCCTTCCATGAGTACCCTCCCTGCTCTTACCTCCCATGCACACCCCCACTCTCCCTTTGCATGACCAACTCTCCTCCTTTGGTTCTCAGCTCAAATACTACCTCCCCAGAAATGACGTCATCACCATCACGCAATTACAATACTCCTTCCCACACAGAACCATGAAAATACTCCTTCCCACTCCCAATTGCTACCACTTTGACCTGTTTTAATGCCTTCAGTGTACTCTTTTGTATTATCTTATCTTTGAATGTGCTTACTTCCTTATTGCCTGCTTCTCGGTTATGATGTGAAAGCAGAGGACTTGTTGGTTCTGTTTCACCCTTGCACTCCCATTTCAGAAAGGGTCCGGCCCATGACAGCACTTACTAAGCACTGCCGAATTTAGGGCATTGTGGTAATTCCCCACATTTTTTAATAGTGAGGTTAAATTCCTCAGTTCATTCTTCTTCTCACCCCCGACCTACGAATGATCTTTTTACTCTTGGCTTTTACATACCTCGTCTATTGTCTCAAAAATGCTGGTGGCTGCTGCACGTCCAGTGGCAAAGGCTTCCAAACAAGAAGAGGCATTGCCAAGATTTAAAGCTCCCACTATGACACTGAGGAAAATCTGAAATGAGAAGAGATAAACACAGTGTTTATGTGTTTTGGGGCTATTCATGTGAACTCATGATTTCAGTCAACACAAAGTGGGTTAGAATAGTGATGAGATCATTTGATTCATTATATGAATAGCCTTATAATAGTTTTTCTGGTTAAAGGGTCTCTATAACGATCAAGACACTATGATTAGCTTGATTGTCTTAGAGATTGGTACATGCAATATAGATCTGCTATTGCTGGTAGTATCTACTACTAGCAATAATAATAACAATAACAATATAATAAGGTGTGTTTCTAAGTGCTTTAACCTGTATTACTTCAGTTCATCTTCACAAAGAGGTTTATGGAAACAGAAGTGTATGGGGGTTAGCTAACACAACATATGTCACAACATATATTAAGTGGTACAGCAGTATCTGAACCCACACTCATGACTGACATTCTGTCTACCTCCCAGGCTCTTCTGCTGAGGTTGCATGCAGGTGGAGTGGCCAGGTTCCTGTGCAGAACTGGGGATGCTGTCCTTGACTCACCAACCCAGCCATCCCATTAAGTTAGGTAAAGGCTACCTGATCCTGACTAGATATTCCTACCAAATAGCACTCTGTTTTTATCAGTTTATAAAGGAAGAGGTAATGAGAAAATTCCTCGCACTGGCCACTAGGAGAAGCAGAAGACTCCTTCCCTCCACCCTTTCAACCAGAGATTGATTGCTGTTCACTTGATTCCTGTGGAGGATGTTTCCATGGCTACCATCTATCAAGGACTACAGTTATTTGCTGAGCTAAAAGTTGACTTCTGGCCCTAGCCGGTTTGGCTCCGTGGTTAGAGTGTCGGCCTGCGGTCCAGAGAGACCCTGGTTCGGTTCCCGCTAAGGGCACGTACCTCGGTTGCAGTTTGTCCCCTGCCCTGGTTGGTCGTGCGGGTGGCAGCCACTCGATGTGTCCCTTTTACATCGATGTTTCTCTCTCTCTCTCTCTCTTCCTCTCTCTCCTTCCCGCTCTATCTAAACAAAAAAATGGGAAAATGTCCTCAGGTGAGGATAAAAAAAAAAGAAAAAGAAAAAGAAAAAGTTGACTTCTGCATGAATGTTGTCTTTTTCAGTTAATCAAATGATCCTAGTCTATGGTGGTTTCCATGAGCTGGATTCTTCCCAGAGTCCTGCTCTGCTCTCTCTCTTCCTTATGGCTGGATCATGGGGCTTCTCGGAGCCCCCAGCCATCTCCCTCCCTTTTCAGTCACCTCTCCATTCCACACACCAGGACTGTATGGGCCAGGCCCCTGTTGGCTTCTCCCTGAATTCCTCACTCTTCATCTGTCCTTCCTGTTCCTTTTCCTTAATCATGGCAGGCAGTTCCTCCCATGGGCAGATTACTTAATCTTTCAAACACTAATTTCTTTATCTGTTACAGGGATAATGAGAGTAGATACCTCATGGGATAGTTATGAGCATTAAATAGATAATGCAGAAAAGGTGATTAATCCAGTTCAGTCACATAAATAATAGGAATGATGATGATGAGAGAAGCAAGATTCTGCACTTAGGAAATGATAAGGTGAACTGTGATTGTGGTGTAATTTGAGTTAAGGTCACCTCCATCCAAGGCCTTCCTACCTGAGGAAAGAAGGCCTTCCACATGTCCTAGCTCAGGGGTCAATAAACATTTTCTGTGAACAGCCAGATAGTAAATATTTTCGGCTTTTCAGGCCACATGGGTTCTGAAGCAATTTCTCAACTTTGCTGTCTAGTACAAAAGCAGCCATGGACAATTTAAACAAATGGCTGTGGCTGGGTTCCATTAGAACTTCATTTACCAAAAAAGGCAGCTGGCTGGCTTTAGCTTGCAAGCCACAGTTTGCTGACTCCTGGTCTAGATCTAGACTGACTCCCTATGGTCCTAAACTGAGGTTTGGGGTCAAAGGGAGGGCAGGAAGGACCACTGGGATATAATCTACCTAGGGTTGTGCTGTGCAAAAGTAAAGGGAATCTGTGACCTTGGAAGACAAATCCAGAGGCAAGAAAACAATGGTTAATGGGTCAGGCCTCAGAGTCACAGAGATCTGAGTTCAAATCCCAGCATACCACAGGGCACACATTTCATAACCTCATGGCTCCATTTCATTTTTAAGTGGTAGTGTAATAACATCAATTACAGAATAAAGTTTATTACATATGGTAATTTTATTAAATACCTCACTCAGTGCTTCACACCTTGTATACAATGAATAATGTTACTCTCTATTACTGCTATTATTTTTTGTTGTTGAGTCCAGAAGCTTAAGAGGGGCATGAAAGAGCAGCCTTCTGCACTACTCAGTTCCCTCTTATCTTTCTTCCAAATAGATCGCAGAGTATGATCGTTGTCTGGGTACAAGTGGTACCAATTACAGTCATTTATGTGAACTCCTTACCATTTATGACCAATTACCATGCAGCCAATAATGATTTTGTGCATCACAAAATGTGTTAGATTAACCTAATTGTTAATTAGTTTAGTGGATTAAAACATTTAACCCATGCATACTCTGTCTCCATAGCTCGCTGCTCAGAAGTAGAGGCAAAAAGGTGTGTGCACGCATGAGTGAAAGAGAGAAAGGGAAGGAAAAGAGAGGGAATGGGGTGGGGAGAGGGAGAGAGAGAGGGAGAGAGAGGGAGAGAGAGGGAGAGAGAGGGAGAGGGAGAGAACAATCCACGCTACTACTGTTTAAGGATGTCTCTCACCTTTCCAAAGAAAAATTTCTCAAGGTGTAAGAAATTTAAGTTTCTGGACTCAACAACAAAAAATAATAGCAGTAATAGAGAGTAACATTATTCATTGTATACAAGGTGTGAAGCACTGAGTGAGGTATTTAATAAAATTACCATATGTAATAAACTTGGTAATAAGCTTGCAGGTAGAGGTTAGAAGTAGAAGGTGAGTTTATAATTGATAACTAATATAGGGAATATAGTCAATAATATTTTAATGACTATACGTGGTGCCAGGTGGGCACTGGAAGTATCGGAGGGAGCGCTTTGTAGAGCTTATTGTCTGACCACTATCCTGTACACCTGTACACAAATACAAAATAATATTAAATGTATATTATAATCAAAAAGTAAAATTTTAAAAAATAAAATAAATAATTGATGGCTGAAATGTTAGAGACACACAGTGTGCCATGTCTGCACGTAGGAAGTACTCAAGAAGTATTAATTGAGAAAATGAATTATTTACAGAAGGTACGGAGTAGCCCACAATCCAACTGGCAGGAAACTCAAAGGTGAGAACTGTTAAATTAATCAAGCAAGGCAGTCATTAGACTGAGGTGGCTTTTGTGCCTCAGCAGCCTACGGGAGCAAATGAAGACCTAAACCTGAAACTGCCTCAGGTTAAGAAATCAAAAGCTAAGGACAATCTATCACAAACAGCCAATTAGGCATTTCCAAATAAAACAACTGCTTAAGCTATAACCAACCAAATAATTTCCTTGTTTTGCTTCCACCTCTTCTTTATCAGTCTCTCCCCTCACTTCTACCAGGGAAGCCCTTCTAACGAATTCTTTTGGCACTAATTGGTGCTATTTTTGCTCACGTCAACTCCTAAAAGTTTTCAGATGCCTCAGTTTTTCTTTTAACAAAAACATAAAATTGGATTCCTGCTAGAGCGTGTTACCAAGGGGTTTTTAAATTCAGTGTTTCCAACTGGAATAAGATATTATTTAATTTTCAATTTACCAATTTATTTTCTCCGTCCGCTCCTTGCAGGCATGGAATGAAAAGAAAGACGTCTTTTCTCAATGCATGTACTTCTGCAGAATGAGCAGATATAAGCAGGTGGAACTAAAATCAACTACTGGTGTCTCTAGTTCGATAAATGTTGAAAATTATGAAGAGTCTTTAGATCGATAAGGAAAGGAGACTTTATAGTCAGATTTCAGATCTGCAATACTTTGCCCGGCTTTTCAAATGTGCAAAGCTGTGTCAAAGGTAAGAACGTGGTTAAATTATGATAATTATAACACTTTCCATCTACACCATCATTTTAAAGTTTACAAAAATAGTCTAACGTGTGCTATCATATTTAATTTTTATAAACCAAGTTCAAGGGTTGCCAACTGTTCATCTTGCAAAGAACTGAATTTAAAACCCATTCTTAGTGTATCGTGTTCTTCATGGAAAAAGGCAGTGGAGTAGAACAATTATATTTTGGCCTCTGATAATCATTTCTATTTGTAAGACTCAGCTTTCCCTAGAAATGTATTTATATTAAAGCGGTACATCTGAAACCTCAGGCTTTCAGCTGGCGAATTTCTGGTGTACAAGATTTTGGTGTTTTTTGTTGTTGTTTATTGTCTAATTGGAGCCTGTCCTACCTAGAGTCCGGAACCAAAATATCTTATTTAAGAATCAATGTACTTAAATTCATATTCTTTATTAAATAAGTACTAGGCCAAATGAAACATATATTGCATGTTTTACCTCGCTGGTTTCATGGAGCTTACTGTGTGAGGGTGGGAAGGAGGGGAAGAAGCGTAAATAAAAGCAAACGTTTGATTTCATTCAAGTGCCCTGAAGGGAAAGTCCAGCAAAGCCATACAGGAGAATAAAAGATGGCGTGAGCATGGAAGGCCTGGCTGGCACAGTGCGGGTGACTGAGGATCCAAACAATGACAAGAGTTCAGCTGTAACAAGAGTGCCTGTGAGCTAAGCAGGAAAGGCTGTGGAGCGTGAGCAGGAGGAGCCCTCTCCCTGACCCAACCACCCCTGGTGTTCCTGCTATTCACCTTAAAGGGTCCCTCTCCTCTCCTTTATAACATGTTACCTTTTGTCATTATGCACGTATGCCATTATGAATTTATTGCTCGTCTCCCCCCCAGACTATAAATTTCATCAGGGCAAAGATCACATTTGTTTTGCTCACCATTGCATCCCCTGTACTTTGTATGAGTCTGGCATATAGTAGATGCTCAGTAACTAATTCTTGACAGAACAACTGAAAGGACACTGAAAATTAGAGTCATGGCCTCAGCTAGAGCACCATTATAGCACAGTGACCAATAACATGTGTTTGCATTACTTGTTCAGTTGAGGATGTTATTGGCTTGGCATTTTAGTAACTCACTATGTTTTCACAAATATGTCCATTAGCACATAGCTGACGCTATTGTTAAGCTCAACTACATGAGCTGTTAATTTTCAGTTGATACATCACTGACTTTCAATTTTCATGGCATATTATCTTTTGGACTCAGTCAGAAAAAAAATATGTTGTTTTACAGCTATAAAATCTTCATTTAATTGAGAATCGTTAAATTGCTTGTTTCATCCATTCAAATGCTCAGCATCCCTTCACTGTAAAATGCATATGTATTACTTGTTTCAGCAGATGGACTCCACCAAATCATTGACACTTTCCTCCCTCAGACACTAAAGAAACAAACAAAATGCCTTAACTGTGGGCTTTTCTGAGATGCCAACAGGAAATGTTCCATATTGGTCATCATGACCAAAGTACCTGGACAAGGGCTCCTGCTGTATATTCTCCATCATCCAGGACGAGTTTGGAGCCGTACCAGAAGGCCAGTGCATAACACAGGAAGATGAGACACCACATCAATCCAGTAAAGAATCCCATCACTATCCCTTTTCTAATTCCCCAACGCTGGGCAAACACAAGATTTTTCTCATACCTGTGAAGAGAAAACATCTGAGTCTATTTCATCAGCAGCGGTAGCAGCTCAAGTTAGAGTGTTTAATACAGATCACGCAGCACAGTGGCTTTCCTCAATGATGATGAAGCATCCAAACACAGGACAGCTTTTGGGAAATAAAACAGTAACTTCTATGTAGTTATGTAAAGTTTGTTTCAACCTGGCAATGACATCAGTTGAAGGGACGATGCCCTGGATTACTTCAGGGATGAGTACAATGGGGTAAGCTTTGCCCCCAAGAGAGAAGAATTTTTCAGCACAAATGTTTGGACATGAGAGATCCAGTACTACTTGTGCTTGTATTGTTTTATTAAGTCACATGACATGCTTTCTATCAGAAAGTGATGCAACTGTCTCCCCTGCAGCTTTGAAATTAGTGTTTGCACCATCTCATCTACGTTTACATACTCCCCTACCTACCCTGTGACCAAGAATGCTATGTTGTAACATGATGGGTCAGATTCACAGTCACGGGACATGGATAGCTGTGGACATTTCGATCCAAGCACTGAGTTTCAGCAGTTCTATCACCTGGCCATTAATCATGTGCATTGTCTTAAAGCTTGGGCATTTTGCAACTGCCTCCCTACGTCTCAAAAAAAAAAAAAAAAAAAATTAATGGAGAATTTTTAACATTTCACAGAACAAGACTGAAGGTCTGCCCTATGTTTGTTACATTTTTTAAGCACTTACACTGCTTGTTTCATTAACAATAGAAGATAATATCTTTCATAGTGAAGAAAACATGCCACTGAAAATTTTTATGAGAAATAAGAGAACTTCATTCCACAAACCAAAAGAAGCAAATGAAAAATAAAAGAAGGAAAGAGATAATTAGAGGTTGTAAATCCTGTTTTCTTTTTCATTTGGTGAATTTGGTAGCAGTTGAGAATGATATAATCGTACTAGATCTATAACACATGAAATAGGAGTTTAATTAAGTCGGTGGTTATTTTATAACGTGGCACATGGAAGCACTCAATAAATACTGGATAAATGAAAGAATAAGCTAAATAAATTGTTTTATAGCTGTGTTGTTTTGTTCATTTAGGTTTTTATTTTCATTAAGAATTAATCTCCTAGAATGATGGTCTTAATATACCAATGCTAAATTTTGTTTGATTAAATTGAAATCTGAGACTTAATAAAGAGTGTGTAGTAGAGTAGCTGAATAAGACACATTGAATAAAAACGTGTTCAATACAAATGTATGAAACTGCATTTTAGAGCATCATAGGCTTGTCCTTAAAGGCAGTGAACAGTGTTGTAGTCCGGCAGGCAGTACAGTATGTATACATACATTGCACCAGAATTTGAAATAAATATCTAACTTATCAACTCGAACATCTTTAAAACCACATAGCTAATGACCTCGGAGTCCTTGTAGTGCTTGGATTGATTTTATTATTCTGCCAAGTTACCTCTTGAACAAAAGCCCCTTCAGGGTACCACAGACCAAGGTGAACCTGCCACTTTGTACAAAAAACGAGGAAGCGTCGGAGTAGCTGGATGAAGGAAATTCAGGAAAGTGGCAGACATTTATTTCAATTCACCAACCTTTCAACCTCTTTTTTTTCACCACCAAAAGCAGCTACTGTTCGAATGGCTGAAATGACTTCATCAGCCACGGACCCTGCTTTGGCATAGGCCTTCAGTTCATGGTCAGTAAATGTGGACACACTCTAAAATAAATAAAAAAGAAAACAAAATGTGAAGACCAGGCAGTTAGGTAAGTCAGTCTCACTCAGGGATATGTTTAGGTGAGTCACTAGGTGGTATGCCTAAAACAAGACTAGATTCTCATAGTCACAGCATCCACGGAGGAAGAATTTAGCCCAAGTTTGATCCATGCTAAGCCTCATCCACAGGTGTTTGGTTGTTGACATACCAAAATGACTGCATTAAAAGTCAACCCCACCCCGGCCAGTTTGGCTCAACAGTTAGAGACCCACAGACCAAAGGGCTGCAGGTTTGATTTCTGGCTCCGGTTGAGGTTGAGCGGGAGGCAACCAATCAATGTGCCTCACATCAATGTTTCTCTCTCTCCCTCTCTCTCTCTTTCTGCCCCTCTCCCTAAAAAATTTTTTTTAAAAATCAATGGAAAAATATCATCGGATGAGGATAAATAACAGCAACAACAAAAAGTAAGCCTCAAAAACCCTCTCAAGGAGTAAGTCCCAAATAGGGCATTCTGCGAGACTGCAGTGTCTCAGGCATTACAGTAGTGAAGTTATGAAGTCAAACCGGATCGTATTTTATTGCTACTGGCCAAAGACCATTGCACAATTCACAGACAAACATCAAGAGGCAAGGACCAGAGGAAAGTACAGATCTCACATTATTAGAATAGAGAATGACCGAGAGTTACTGAGCACACAAACTCATGATGAGGCAGAGGTAATTCCACAGGAGAAAGCGTCAGATAAATACTACACTATTTTCACTTGACTGTAGGGGCTCAACAACTTTGCTTTTCATGAAAGGAAATAAAAAGACATCGCACTTAATATTAAACAAGTTACATTTTCCAAAATTGGACTTAGATTGAGTCCCAGTTAGAATTAACCACCAAAGAAAATCCTGGTACAGATGAAGAAACAAGAAGGGGGAGAAAAGCAAATATTGTGGAAGATCAACTCACTCAGCAAACCTAAAAAACATATAGTGCCCACACTAAGAGGTTTTATCTTCCAAGTTTTTCCAAATGTTTAGCAGTAAAACTCTTATCAAACAAAATCTTAAGCACAATTCTAAGACGTAAAAGCAGTATTTTATTGCAATATATTTATTTCACAAGTCCCCATTTGGTAAAACTTCTGTGAATTGAAAAGGCAACAATAAAAAAAAGTGAGGCTATTTTCATCAACATGAAAAGTTGGGTGTTATGGGTGACACTGCAGATTTTACTGCGAGCTGTTTCTAACTTATTGCACAAATGTGCACTGGCAGCGCAGCAATGAGATGATTAAGTAGTTACAAATGTTATCAGTTTTTGTGGTGATGGCACATTAAATAATCTCAGAATATTTCAATTAAACTGACAAAAGAGCTTTGAAAATATAGATTGGGAATATCTAACAATTGCTCGTGTTTCTCATTGTAAGTGTAAAATTTGAAGGCAAGTAAAACCCATAATAACTTCCAATACAGCCCTATTTGATTTGGCTCAGCAGTTAGAGCGTTGGCCCAAGGACTAGTGAGTCGTGGGTTCAATTCTGGCCAAGGGTATGTACCTCGGTTGCAGTTCGTCCTTAGCCCGGTCTGGGTCATGCGGGAGGCAATCAGTGAATGTGTCCCTCTCACATCAATGTTTCTCTCTCTCTCCCTCTCTCTCCCTCCCACTCTATTTGAAGACAAATAGAAAAACATATATCCTTGGGTGAGGATTAAAAAAAAACTTCCAATATGTCATATATTGCCCCCCCACGTTTTTTTGTCTTGCCTAGTGAAGTCGCTTGTAGCATTTTACACAAACTTGCACAGACTTGAATTCAAGAAGAAACCAGTGCAGAGCTGCCACATTGCAAATCAGTGATGCACTCCCAGGAACTTCAGATGAGGTGCTGAGACAAGAGAGACTGTGCTCCTAAACCTGAATAAAACCGGGCAAACCAGGCCACGCTGTTGGTCTCCAATATGTTAAAGTATGACATGTGATCCATTAGAGTGTAAATATTAATTTATGATGGGCTTAAAGAAAGAGATTAAATGAATTTGGCAGGGGGAAAAATGAATCAAAATGTTTGTAGACATAGCAAAATGACTACATACAGTTGGAGGCTGAGCCAAAGACCCTCCCTGAAACCGAGGCTTCTCTGGAGTGCAGCCGGAAAGCATTTGGTAGAAAAGACCTTTGCAAAGCTTGAGTGATATGGTGGATTGGAAAAAACTAAAAGCTAATATCTCTTTAGTAGTTAATTCTGTGTCAGGTGCTGTGCTGAGTGTATAACATGGATTGTCTTCAATCATCACAATGACTTTGGAAGTTATTATCCTTGTTTTTAAGATGAGGAAACTGAAGTTTTGATGAATTAAACATTTCTTTCTTAAGCCAGGTGAAAGAGCCAGGTGGTGATCTAGTTAAGTGGAATGAGCTCTTTGCTATTGTGTTAGCCGGGAAATGTTTGAATAATAGAGCCAGTGGGTTGTAGAGAATATTCCTCTAGAAAAATATCATCATGAAGATCGGTACCTGTTGCTCAATAATGTGAGCTTTGCACCTCAATTCTACTTTCATTTACAGCAAATTATTAGTGTGCCTGGTCCCAGGACCTGCTATCTAATGTGGCTGCTCTAAAAGTAAACCATAATAATTTCTTGGTCCTTGGGAGTGTGTTTTCACTAGGATAACCCCAAATTCCTACTCATATGCTTTTTTAAAATTTTTATTTTATTTTATTTTTTATCCTCACCCGAGGACATTTTTCCATTTTTTGTTCAGATAGAGTAGGGGTGATGGGGGGGGGGATGGAGAGAGAGAGAGAAACATTGACGTGAAAGGGACACATCAAGTGGCTGCCACCCGCACGACCAACCAGGGCCGGGGACAAACTGCAACCGAAGTACGTGCCCTTAGCGGGAACCGAACCCGGGTCTCTCCGGACCGCAGGCCGATGCTCTAACCACTGAGCCAAACTGGCCAGGGCCGACTCATATGCTTTTTCTTGGCCTGTGTACCTGGGGGATGGAGACTATGACTGGGAAACTGCTCAGAATGGGCCAGGTAATCTCTCTGAAACTGATCAGATGGAATGGAGAACACAGCTGTGATTGTAGAAATCTCTTTTAGGTGCTTGTTACTGATATGGGTATATTTGTTGGGCCTTTCTGAGGGGAGCATCTGAGCTTGGGAGACCAGATAGGCATATTGGAGAGTGGGTGGACATTTGGAGTCAGTCTCCCTTGAATTCGAATCCTGTTCTGTCAGTCACTGGCTGTACAGTCTCGGACAAGTCCCTTTAGAGTACCCCCCTGAGTCTCTGTGTCTTATATTTAAAATGGCATTAATACTTTATACAGGGGTGGAAAACATCTGGCCCACGGGCCATACAAGGCCTCGAAATCAATACCAGCTAACATCACAGCCTCACCAAATTAGCCTGACCAAATACATCAGGCTAATTCTTAAGTTGATAATTTTGTATGGCCCATGAATGATGTTATAAATATCCAAATAGTCCTTGGCAGAAAAAGGGTTCTCCACCCGTTTATAAGATTTCATAAAGATTAGAGATAACGTATATAAAGTTCCTCATAGTGCCTAGCCCAACAGTAAATGCTCAATAAATGTAGTTGTTATTGTTATTAATACAATAATATTTATATTATTAAAATGTCATTAATCCCTAACTTATGAAATGTTGTTTGATACTAAGGAATAATCAATTAAATTAGTGATCAAGGCGTTGACTAACCATACTCGAGAAAAAGGCCTCGAGCTTACAATTTCGTCTGTTTCTCAGAGCCGATGTCTTCCCATGGAGAGAAATAAGAAGACATTCTTACCATACCAATGACAGCTGCTCCAATCCCAATGAGAGGGCTGACAGAGATGATAACCAAGGTCAGTTTCCAACCCTGGTAAAATCCCAGCAGGAACCCAGAGATGCTCGTGGTCATGCGCTGAATGAAAATGGCCATTTGGTCAGCAATGGCATCATTGATTTTATTAATATCACTAGAAACAAGAGAGGCTTTGATCACTAAAATGGAATTTGGTCCATTCAAATGTTTTACTAAGGAATCTCCATCTTTCTCTTCTAAAATAGTCTTACCTCTGAACCCCATTGCCCTTGGGAAACATAACTGACTCTCACGTCTTGGAAAATTTGCTGCAGCAAATTTGCCCTTCACCAGTTTTCCCAACTGGTGTCCATTAAACATTGGCAAAGGCTTTTGGAAACCATCTTATTTGTCTCGTTTTTATAGCTAGTATGCTTGGTCTGTCCTGAAGAGACATTCTTTCCTTCTTTATACCTGTAAATTCTTTTAGGTTCTACTCACATACCAACTAATTCATAAAAACTTATATAATTCCCCAGAAAGAAGTAATATCTTCCTTCCTGTGTTTCCATACCAATGTACTAATCTGTATACATGTGTGTGTATGTGTATACAAATATCGCATTCTGCTATAACAGAATAGTAATTAAGAGGACAGATTCTAGAGCCAGACCCTGAATCGAAACAAGCTGTTCGTAGGCAAGTTAGTTAACCTTTCTGTGCCTCAGTTTCCTCATCTGTAAAATGGGGATAATGACAAATCCTACCTCAGTGGTAGTAATGAGGATTAGTTATATGTAAAGCACTTAAAACAGTTCCTAGGCTATAATAAGCAATCAATATGGGTTTGCTCTATTTATTTGCTTGCACCTTTTATCTTCCTACTAGACTGTAAGTTCCTTGAGATGAGGAGTTCTGTGGTTTATCTTCATGTCTTGCATAGAGTAAGTGCTCTGGAATATTGGTTGAATATAATTACTATAATCTCTTGTCCAGGTGGAGCAAACAGGGTTTAGGACTTGATAGCAAAAAAAGGACCTAAGCCATTACACAGCGATTGGACAATTGTATTCTAGCAAGGTTATGTGTCTGTCCAAGGTCACAGTAAGAGGCAGAATAGTGCTGGAACCTAAGGGTCCCAACATTCAGTCTACTTTTACCTTTACTCCACTACACACCATCTTTCACTGGACTTCAAAGTTTAATCCCATCGAACTGGTTCTAATTACTCGGGGCTCATTGAGAATTACTGAGGAGACTTGGGGTGCTAAACACACAATATAATATACAGATGATGTATTATAGAATCGTATATCTGAAACCTATATAATTTTATTAACCAATGTCACCCCAATAGATTACATTACAAAATAACTGAAAATGTTTCCAATCATTATTTAATTTAAAAATAAGAGTTTTATTATTTAAAAAAATATATATACATTAAAATATCCTACCAGCCACTTACTCAGAAAATCTTGTATTCAGCTCTCCCACTGAATTGCAGTCGAACCATCCTATTTCCATTCTCATTATTTTCCTGAAGTAAAACTTTCTCATTTTCTGTATCTGACGAGCTGAGGCAATTACCCAAAAGCATATCTGGAAATGGAGCAAAGATGTTTAGCATTGCCATGTTAACAACACTTATTAATTCCTTCTCTTTTCAGAAGAAAATACTTTCAACGTAACCGTTGAGAAAAGGAGGAAAACAATTCACGAAACGCCTCTTTTTGGGCACTGAGGTGCGAGCTGACACCTGCTCCTAGCAGTGGAGGTGAGCAGAGCAGCTGGGAGCAGGGAAGCCGGGAGATCTGGGTTTGAATCCGGCTCTGCCGCTTTCAGACTTAACCTTACTGAGCATCACTTTCCTCGTGTGTAAAATACGGCTCACAGCACCAACAATGATTATTGCTCTTAACTCACTAGTCTTGCATGCCACTTCTTCCCCTGAGAGGCTTGCCAGCAAGCATTTATGCATAGTTTTCAGGCTGTTGGTCAGTGATTTTCAGAGAAAATAAGCTAACAATTATGACACAAGCAGACAATCTGCTAATAGTTTCCCCCCACCAAGCAAAGTAGCATGTCAGTAAAACTCCCAGTGCCAGAATGGGAAAAAGTGATGCGTGTCTCTCTTCAACTAGCACTAACTTCCTGGAATTCTTGAATGAATTGTGGGGAGGTTTATTATTTTTCCTACAGGAGGTGGAAAAAAAAAATACTTTTTTTCTTAATAAGGGTTAAGTAACTCCAGGTCTTTCCATGGCTTAAGTTTAGAATGTGCTCTATTCCGTTTACAGAATTTGGGTTGGAATGCAGTTTGGTGAGACGTTAGCAATGAAAGAGAAAAAAAATAGTTTGCTTTCCTCCAACTCCCAATGCCCGGCTTTCTCCAGACCACTCCTTCTTCCTCTACAAACACACCCATACTGTCTATTCCTGAGTTTGGAGGAGAGGGTAAAGTGGGGAGGGAAGGGAAGGACAGATGTTGAAATAAAAGATCCAGTCTTCATCTCTCTAGACAGCCGCTTACATCCTCCTCTCCGAATGAGAGGAAAAACTTCTCATTCTCTCATGTCCCCTTGAAAAAAAATCCAGTACTCCTTAGGGCTTGTGAACAATGCAAAAGTTGATGAGCACACTTTGCATTTCACTGTAATGTCTTTGAACCCAGATGTTGGTCAAGAAGTAAAGCAGAGGCTCTACTAACTTGAATGTATCCCGTGATGAGAACTGCAACAGCAGTGCCAGCATAGTAACTGGCAAATTTGATCATTTCACTTTCAATGTCCAGCAACCTTCAAAAGAGAGGAAAACTGTTAAGACTCACAGGTATGCTCAAGCTACCAAAGATTACATCTGTGGATACAGAGGAATTTAAAATACATGTATTATAAGTTTCTATTAAATATGGGTAAAGCATTTTATCCATGTAGAATTATAATCAACCCAACAAAATCCCTAAGTAGATCTCATGGTACCAATCACAGCCAAGATGCTTAACCCCTTTGTTTTTACAGGCAGAGACACTAGGGTTGTGAAATAGTCAATCTGCAGTTGTTGGAAGCCCAGGGGCCCTAGATGGCAGCCCCTTCCTGGCTCTGTCCACTGGGGCCCCTTTCGCGTAGGCTCCTTGTGCAGCGATGGAGCACTCACAGCTGCAGAACAGTTTAAACAGCCAGACACTAGTAGAGAGCTGTGTGCTGTAAATCAGGAGGCTTGCTGTTCCTCATTTAGGAACCTACGCCAGCTTTTCAAGTCCTCCGTCTCAGAGGGACACTGAGGAATGTGCATGTCCTCTTCTCATAGAGGCAGAAAAACACTTTTATTTGCATAGTCTTTCTGCTGACTGCAGCCCAGGAAGCTTCACTCTCTGGGGCAATTTCTAAGGTTGAAGCCAAAGAACTTTTGGGAAATAGCAAGAACGCTCTGCCACATTTTCCAGCACAACCATCATGCTGCAGCAGAGGGTCTGGGATTGGCAGGGCCAAGGCAGAGAGGGGAGGGCACAGCTTTTGGGAAATAAGGCATTTTATAATTAGAAAGTGAGCATATTGGTTGATGACAACTCTGATCCTCAGGGACAAGTTAAATGATATGGAGTCCATTTCCTTAGAAAATCAGCATAGATGTTCTCATTCTACATGCTCTCTGCTTTCTATCAGGACTTCTTTTGTGACCGAGCTTGAATTGTTCTCTTTCTCTACTGACCTCAAACCAAGTATCGAAGTATCATTTATTTAATTCAGAACAAACTATCATCCACGACAGATTTTATTGCCACCTTGTACTATTATTCAATATCTTTATTGAACACTTTTATATTGAGTAATATATATATATATATATATATATATATATATATATATATATTTTTTTTTTTTTTTTTTTTCCCCCTTGCTAGTAAATTGCAAGCTCCTTGCAGGCAAGGGCCGGGTTTAAGCTGCTTGCTCATATTGCCTGAACCCTGGTACAATATCTTCCACACAGTAGGTACTCAATAAATGTTTCTTGATTTTGTTTTGACTTTCAAAATACTAATGAGGAGGGGAAATAACTGCCTTGGTCAACTCTCTGACCTTCTTTAAACTCGGTAATATGTCCACATTCTCCACATTCCCAGGTTTTTTTTGTGTGTGTGATGATTTAAGGCAACTCTGAGAATGAACAAGACCTAGAAAGTCATAAACTTATATGTAAGTGTCCGCAATCAGAAGCTCTTACAAAAGCTAACGATGTCTGTATAGAGTGCACATTGTAGTATTACGAGTAAAGCCTTCTAATGTATAAATGAGTTCATGCTCTTAGTTTTCTGATTGTTAAATAAAATTTGGGTGTCCAAACACAGAAATCTATGAGCATTTGTCAAAAATCTTGCTTAGACTTCCTGTGGTGCATTCATTCTACAGACACTCTAAACAGAGATGATAAAGTTCCTGCCATGAAAACACGGCTGCCAGGTATAAACAGACCTACGTGCATTTAGAGAGCTTGGCACGGAGCCAGCCCCAGGATCCGCTGGAGCAAAGTTCAGGAGAACTATGTCATCGCTGAGTGGCCTGGGTGAGGACATGTGCAGTGTATGGTACTTTTCACCCCTGAGGCACCCCAGAGATAAACGATTGACTTGTTTCCATTTTATTCTTGGGAAGAAAAGTTATCAGTTTTAGAGATTACTTGAGAATATTTCTGGAACAAAAGGACAAACCTATCAGAAAAACCAACAGGAAGGAAAAGAGCAGACTAGCTTAGTTCCTTTGACTGCACATCAAACTCTTCATCATCTGCCTGGTGGAAAGCTCTTGTGATTATAAAATCCAGGAAAGGAGTCTACAAATTGTGCAGGTGATTTGGAGCCCAGAATGGGCACTTTTTTTTAAAACAGCAAAATTAGCCCTGGCCGGTTTGGCTCAGTGGTTAGAGCGTTGGCCTGCGGACTGGAGAGTCCCGGGTTCGGTTCCCGCTAAGGGCATGTACCTCAGTTGCAGTTTGTCCCTGGCCCCGGTTGGGGTCTTGTGGGTGGCAGTCAGTCGATGTGTCTCTCTCACATTGATGTTTCTCTCTCTCTCCCTCTCTCCCTCCTGCTTTATCTAAAGATAAATGCAAAAATGCCCTCGGGTGAGGATAAAAAAAATGAATAAATAAAACAGAAAAATTAACTTAGGTCTACTTGAACAAATTAAGATCCCCCTGACTCATTTGTCAAAGAGAGAAGAGGAGAGAGAGATGACAATCAGAGGAAAAGAAAAGATATATTTTACAAATTATTAATATAAGAGGATTCTTACCTTGGTTTTTACAAAAAAAATAAATTCATCTTAAGATTGAATTACTCAATTTATACCTCAAGGTCTCATCTTTACTAAAGCTATAGGTTTTTCATTTAAAATCCATAGAAGGTGGTTATGACAAGGTGCATTGCTTCACAAGGAGTTTTTCTTTCAACAGTTCTCATGCACTGTGGACATAGTAGCACTAACACATTAGAGTGAACATCTGTGTCAGCTCTAAACTGAGCATTGCAATCCTGCAGAAATGTGTGCATGTCCTAGTTTCAGAGTGTTGGAGGCTCTGTATTCCTTCATACAAAGGACATTGACCTATGGATAAATGACTTATCACTGGCTAAATTTGCTAGAACATCCCTTCACTAAGGTAGCATACTGCCAGAATGGCTAGATCTTAATTTCAGAGAATCTACAATCATTTTTCTCATCCAGGAAGCTATGTTTTGTTTGTTTATTTTCAATCTTTTTATTTTGAGATAAGTGTAGATTCGCATGCAATGTGAGAAATAATAGAAAGAGATTATATATGCCCTTTTTCCAGTTTTCCCCCAGTGGTAACATCCTGTGAAACTATAGGCTCACATCACAATCAGGATGTTGAGATTGATACAGTCAAGATCAGAACAGTGTCATCACCACAAGGATTTCTCATGTTGCCCTTTGACACCCACACATACTTTCATCTGGCTCCATTCCTCCCTTAAACACTGGCTACCGCTAATCTCTTCTCTATTGCTATAGTTTTGTTATTTGAAGAATGTTCAATGGAATTACACAGAATGTAAACTTTGGGATTGACTTTTATTTCTATCAGCATAATTCTTCCATGTTTCATAAATAGCTCATTCCTTTTTATTGTTAAGTAGTATTCCACGGTGTTGGTGTATCATAGTTTGTTTAACCACTCACCTATTGAAGGATGTCTGGGTTGTTTCCACTTTTTCATCTATTACAAATAAAGTGTCTATAAAGCTTCTATTTTTTACATATGAGTTCATGTCTCTGGGATAAATCCCCAAGAGTAGAATCTCTGGGTCATATAATAGTTGTATATTTAGCTTTTGAAAAATTGCCAAACTGTTTCCCAGAATGGCTGCTGCACGATTTTATATCCCCACCAAGGTAAGAGTGTTCTAGTCCTTCCACATCCTCACCAGCAGTGAGTATTATCACTATTTTTACTTTAGTCATTCTGATATCTCATTTTGATTTTAATTTGCATTCCTTAACCACTAATATTGTTGAACATCTTTTCATGTGCTCATTTGCTATATTTATATCCTTAATGAAATGTCTGTTCATGTCTTTTCCCCATATTCTGGATCTTTTTAACCACTGAGTTTTGAGAGTTGTTTAGGTTTTCTAGATCTTAGTCCTTTGCTAGATATATAATTGGCAAATCTGTTCTCCCAGTCTGTAGTTTGTCTTTTCATCCTCTAAACAAGGTCTTTTGCAGAGCACAAGATTTTAATTTTGATAAAGTCCAGTTGATCAAAGTTTACTTTTATGGATTATTTTTGGTGTCAAGCCCAAGACCTGGAAATGGTCTCCTATGTATTTTTCCAACATTTTAGAGTTTATTTTTTACATTTAAGTTTATAATCCATTTTGAGCTAATTTCTGTATAGATGCATGTTTTGGGTGTCCAATTACTTCAGCACCATTTGATAAAAACTTTATCTTTCCTTCATTAAACTGCTTTTCCACCTTTGTCAATAAACAGTTAGTCTTATTTGCATGGGTCTGAGTTCTCTCTTCTGTTCCTCTCTCAGTACCATATCACCCTGATTGCAATAGCTATATAATATGTCTTAAAAGTGAATATATTGTTTTCATACACTTTATTCTTATTTTTGAACATTGTTTTAGATCTTCTAGTTATTTTGCCTTTTCACATAAATTTTAGAGTAATCTTGTTTATTATCTACAAAAAGTTTTGCTGAGATTTTTTTTTTTTTTTTTTTTTGGTTAATTCTCACCTGAGGACATTTTCCCATTGGCTTTTAGATAGAGTGGAAGGGAGGGAGGGAGAGAGAGAGAGAGAGAGAGAGAGAGAGAGAGAGAGAGAGTAAGAAACATGGATGTGTTGAGAGAGACACATAGATTTGTCGCCTCCTGCATGACCCCCACCAGGGCCAGGGATTGAACTTACCCTTCATGGGGAATCAAACCCAGGACCCCTCGGTCCAAAGGCCAAAGCTCTAACCACTAAGTGAAATTGGCCAGGATCTTGCTGAGATTTTAATAGAAATTGTATTAAACTTGTATATCAATTTTGGGGAACTGATACCAATATATTGATCTCCCAATTGATTAACACATTATGTGTCTCCATTTATTTAGATTTTCTTTGATTTCTTTCATCAGCAGTTTGCAATTCTCAGTGTACAAATCCCGTACATGTTTTGCTAGGTTTACACCTAAGCAAAAAATTTTAAGCAGTTATAAGCATTATCTTTTGAATTTTGGTTCCCATATTTTTGTTGCTAGTATATGGAAATACTATTGAA